CTCCCACAGAGCAGCTGGTAGGTTTGAACTGCTGCTTAACCACTGTGCCACCAGGGCTCCTTTAATCCCACGGTTGTTGGTAAATGCTGTTTAGTTAGTTCTGGTTCATAGGGTTTCCAATAAGTGGCTTGTGGGTTTGAACTGCCAACTTTGCTGTTAGCAGTTCAGTGCTTATCCTACATCACCAATAGCACAATGCTCAAAGCAGACATTCTTTATTACCCAGTGTAGTTGAGTCAGTTCTAACTCACAACCACCCTATAGGACAGAGTAGAAGAACTGTTCCTTAGGATTGCCTGACACCCTTATCTTTCTCTCTGAGCAGCTGATGGGTTTGAACAGCTGATCTTGCAGTTAGCAGCCTAATGCCTAACCCATTGTGATACCAGGGCTCCTTAACATTCTTTATTTGTGGTGATGGTTGTGTGCCACTGAGTTGGGTCCGACTTAGAGAGACCCTGTGTAGGATTTCCGAGGCTGTAAATCTTTATGGGAGCAGAGAGCCTCACCTTTCCTGTGGAGCGACTGGTAAATTCAAATTGCTGACTTTGCCGTGCCCAGTTTATAATCCACTATCCCACCAGGACTCCTTTATCCTTTATTGGTGATGGTGGTGGTGTGTCATGGAGTCAGTTCCGACTCACAGAAACCCTACATAGGGTATCTGAGGCTGTAAATCAACGGGAGCAGAAAGTCTCATTTTTCTCCCGCGGAATAGCTGATAGTTTCGAACTGCTGACCTTGAGGTTAGCAGCCTAACTCATAACCACTACACTACCAGAGCACCTTTAATTTTTTAGTAGTTAATCCATACTGTTTGGTGTAAGGTTTATAGATTTCATTCAACTATGGTGGGAAGCCACAGGCTTTGCTCACATGGCTTTCTTCTCACCATGCTCAGCAGTGCTGTGCAAAGCTTGCCAGAGTTGGATCTCCATGCATGCAGGCAGGAGCCTTGTTAGGGAAGCCTGCTAACTGCAAGGTTGACGATTCAAACTCACCAGCCACTGCTTGGAAACCCTATGTACAAATTTGCTATGAATCAGAACTGACTCGATGGTATTTAACGACAACAGTTGCACAACACATGAGGCCAGGGGCCCTAATCAGTCTCTCTAATCTCACATCACCAATGCCAGGGCTTCTTATGGATATATGATTCCACTGCCTTCTGCCTCCATTGTTTCTGACAAAAAATCAGTAGTTAGTCTTACTGAGGGTTCCTTACAGCTTTAAGATTCTTCATCACTGACTTCCAGCGTTTGCACTATTCGTGTGTGGGCACGGATTGCTTTGCATTTATTCCAGTGCTACTTGGAAGTGTAGATGAATAATTTTCCTCCAGTTTGGCAAGTTTCGGGTCATTGTTTCTTCACATATTGTTTCTGCCTTCTTTTCTCTCTCCTTACCCTTATATGTTTCCTTGTGTATTTAATTGTGCTCCACATTGTGCTGAACCAGACCTGAGTTCTTAAATTTGTTTTCACTGTTTGTTTTTCTTCACAGTTTTTTCTTTCTGCTCTCAGATTACAGCATCTCTATTGCTCTGTTTTAAAGTTCTAAGATCCTTTCTTCTGCCAACTGAGATCTGCTGTTGAGTCCTTCTAGAGAAAATTTTAATTTCAGTTACTGTACTTCTCAACTGCAGAAGTCCCTTTTTTTGTGTATGTGTAGTTTCTGTCTTTGCTGATGTTTGTCTCTGTCTGAAGATAATTGTCATCCCTATCTTCTTTTAGTCCTTTAAGCATAGTGACAGTGGCTGCTTTGAAGTCTTTGCCAAGTCCAAAATCTGGGCTCCTTCAAATACAGTTTCCATTGTTTGCTTTTTTTGTGTCTCTGTGGGATAAAGTACTGGACTGCAAGGTTGGTTTGAACTGCAAGGTTGGCTGTTAAAATTCACCAGCTGCTCCTTGGAAACCTTATAAAGGGTCGCTGTGAGTCAGAACTGAATTGATGGTACTTAACAACAAAAACACATGTGCCATACATTCCTTTTCTTTGAAAGTCATGTAAATTTTTATTGAAAACTAGACACTCAGGTAATAGAGTGTTGTTGTTAAGTGCCGTCAAGTGGGTTCCAACCCCCTCCTCCAATGGGTTCGATGTTTTTGTCTGGCTCATTGTTCTTTTATTCAATGAATAGCTCGGCTGAACTAACTCTGTAAAGTTTGTTTCTCTGTCCAGTGCAACCTTTGACCTCTGGCTTGATTTCTTTCTTGTTACCTTTTAGTCTGGCTACTGGTGGCACTGTGGGTTAATGCACTGGACTGCAAAGTAAGTTTGAACTGAAAGGTCGGCTGTTCAAGTCCACCAGTCGCTCCTAGGAAACCCTATACAAGGTTGCCATGAATTGGAACCAACTCAATGGCACTTAACAACAACAGCAGCAACCTAGAGATCACCACCCTAGGTCCCCCACAAGCCATGTATTGGTCAAAAGGTGTGCTTAAGCCCCTGTGTGGTTTGCCATCGGATGTATATGGGCTTGGAAGCTGTCATGCCAATTTGTAGAGTTTATGCCTTTGCTTACCATTCAGCTGAGGACAAAACCAAAACCTGTTGCCCTTGAATTAAATCTGACTCACAGCAACCCTGGAGACAGAGTAGAAATTCCCCATAGGGTTCCCAAAGCGGTAACTTGCAAATTGGAGGAGAAGCTAGTGAATTTGAACTGCTGGACTTTTGGTTCGCATCCAGCCTCATAACCACTGTGCCACTAGGGATTCTCATATAGATAGGGACTTGTAGTTAGGTGCCGTAGAGTCGGCTCCAACTCCTAATGATCCCATGCACAACAGAACGAAAACACTGCCTGGTCCTGCACCCGTCCTCACAATTGTTGTATCTGGACCCATTGCTGCTGCCACTGTGCCAGTCCCATCTCACTGGGGGTCTTCCTCTTTTTCGCTGACCCTCCACTTTGTCAAGCATGATGTCCTTCTCCACAGATGAGCAGCTTGGATTTCCCTTTTTGATCATTCCTTGGTGCATCCTTGGACATTCCCACTGCCTTTCAGGCCTTCAGGGATGAATGTGATTTTTTTCTGGCTTCCTAGGAGTTGCTTTATGGGTCTCAATTTATGGTTCAGAGGTTGTGCCAGTGTGTGCAGCGTGGGGGGGAGGGCTGTTTCCTCAGGGGGTACCATTTCGCTCCTGGCGCCTTCCTGACCCTCAGAGGCACTTTGTGACCATCTCTTCTCCTGCTTCTCTCTGGAGTAGCCCCTGCTCTACCATTCCGCCTGGTGCTTCTAGTTTATGATACCTCCGTTGAATGCTCAGCTGCTAACTGAAAGATACACAACGTTACAGGAGAGCAGCCCGGCAGCCTGCTTCCGTACAGATGTCTGTTGTCAAGAGCTGCTGAGACAGTTTCGACTCCTAGCCTGACCCAGAGACTCCTTCTGTAAAGACAGCAGCCCAGGAAACCCTCTGTCACATGAGATTGTGAGGAGTCATCAACTCCCTGCACCCAACAACAACATGATGGAACTAAAACCCAGAACAGCAAACCCACTGCTGTCCAGTCAATTCCAACTCACAGCGACCTGGTAGAACAGAGCAGAACTGCTCCGAGGCTGTAAACCAAGTTCTCAGGAGGCAGCAGGTCGAGGCTCCAAGGGCACAGATGGTTCTTAGCAGGGCTGAGTAGATTTTCTCAGCTGGTTCCTATTGGCCGGTGCCTTCAGGTCCATTTCTAAGGACTTCAAATGGTTGTGCTTTCCTACTTTTTCCTTTCTTTTTAAATTGTTATTACAGTTTAGGTGAAGGTTTACAGAACAAATTGGTATTCCAGTCAACAGTTCGTACACATTTTGATCTATTACATGGATTGCCATCCCCACAATGTAGCAGCGCTCTTCCCACTTCCTCCGTGTTTCACATTCCCATTCATCCTTCCTTCCTGCCCTCTGAGCTTTCTACCTGGGTAAATAACTACCCTTTTGATGGTGTTATTGTTCACCTGATGTTGTTGTTAAGTGCTGTCGAGTGGGTTCTGACTCATTTCAACCCTGTATAGGGTTTGCGGGAGTCCTGGTGTGGCACTGTGGGTTAATGCGCTGGACTGCAAAGTCACTTTGAACCGCAAGGTTGACGGTTCAAGCTCACCAGTCACTTCTCGGAAACCCCATACAGGGTCACAATGGGTCAGAACCGACTCGATGGCACTTAACAGCAACATAGGGTTTTAGAGTAGTGACTGGTGAGTTTGAACCCCTGACCTTGTGGTCAAGTGCTTATGCTACAGTACCAGACCTACTATTTGGCTGATGAGCTCAGTTCCTGGTCTGAAGAGTGACTGAGGGTCACTCTCAGGGGTTCCACTAGTTTCTGCCCGACCAGGAAGCCTGGTCATTTTATGATTTTGAGTTTGTTCCACGTTCTTCTCCCTCTCTATCCAGGACCTTCTAATGGGATCTCTTTCAGAGCAGTCAGCGGCAGTCACTGGGCACCATCAGTTCTTCTGGTCGGTCTCAGAGTCATGGTCGGTCTCAGAGTCGGGCTCACATGGACGGTCCATTAGGCCGTTGGACTAATTGTTTCCACTGTCTTTGATTTTCTTCCCTCTTCTCTTCTCCAGATAGGGAGAAGCCCATACTTACACTGTAGATGGCCACTGGAGAGCTTTAAAGAGCCCTGTCTGACTTGTTCTTATCAGGAGACACACATTCGTGAAACGTTTAGACAGCATGAACAAAATGCTTTTCCTGGGAGCTCTTTCCCCCTTGAAGCACACAGCCTGCCCATAGGAATAGTAGCCTGGGTGATAGAACAACCAGAGCAGTTCCCCCCAGTTGGCATTTTGATGGTCTTCTCCCCATCCAGGCCACTGCATAAGACCACTGCCCGGTTGGCACTGTTGCAAGCGTCCCGTGAGTTGGGTGGATTGGGTTTGGGCCTCGGCAGCTGCTGGCTAACTATTTGTCCCTTCTGTAAGTCTGAGTGTGGGGAACCAGGCTCATGACTCACGTGGGGATGTTTGCTCTCTTCTCTAGGGAGATGACAGTCTTTCTGCAATTACCTTCGATTCTGACGTTGAGACGGTAAGTTGCCCTCATGACACTGCGGAGACATAGAACAGGCCACCCCCTGCGTAGAGCCTGAGCATGGAGTCAGAGCCCTGCCTGGCATGGGGAAGTTTCCAGAACAGTGATGATAACTGTAAACTTTGCCCTCGGGAGTCATTTGAGGCAGAGTGCACTTGAGGTCAATAACAAGCTTCTCATGGCCTCTGTTGAGCACCCTCCACCCTGACACAAAGGAGAGAGCAGAGCAGAGAAGCCACTGGTAGAAGGGGCAGGCCCCTTGCAGCCTGGAAGAGGACTGGCTATCTGGTGTGGTTGGACCCCATGGCCACACTGTGACCCCAGCCCAGCCCTACAGGGTGTATTTAGAACACTCATGTGGGTGGAAAACAAAATATGCTGATGACAGCCGGTATGACCTGAACAAAACACAATGGGTCTCCTTTCTAGACACCCCCTTTGTATTGCCTGTGGACTCAAGGGAAGGGGGCAGGTTCATTGTTCAGGGAAGGGGCAGACCTCTGTTAAGCTGCGAGTTATCTCTCCACCCCACTGAAGAGGGGGCCTTTGCTACCTCAGGATGGGCAGGGACCACACTGACCCTGAGCGTGGAGCACAGGCAGGGCCTGGCTGATCTGGGATCTTCATGTGGCTTGGGGGCACTCTGGTCTTCAGGCCACATCTCCCTAAAGCAGGAGACAACCTGTGCCCGGCTCTGCTCCAAGAGCTCTTCTCCATATGGGAATCTGCACGGAGCCTCTGTGTCCCATTTCGCTCAAGCAGCCCCAGGAAGCCGAGCTTCCCACCTTGCTCTGGAGCCCGCTGGGGAGGACAGTGTGGGGACAGAGGCAGACCTCCTGTGTGGTGTCCTCTGTCTGACCTCACAAGGGCCTACACCCTTCATTTCTGACAAGAACTAGGGTCACTCCCCATGTCTCCCCACCTGCAGGGAGGCTCATCCAGCCTCACAGTTCCCTCCTTTCTTTCAGAAAGCAAAAAGGAAAAGTTACCACAAACCACCACCGACATCACCAAGTAAGTGTGACTCGGGCCTCCGTCCCTTCTGCTGTGTGTCTCTCAACTCTGAAAGTGGCTCCCCAGCACCCTGGCAAGAGGGTCAAAACTGTCTTCCTCAGACTATAGTTAGAATAACTTAGACAAGATACTTCAGCCCATTGGCTCCTTGTGTTGATTGTTGGAATCATGGGTGACCTGTATAGGGTTTCTGAGGAGTGGCTGGTGGGATTTCAACCGCTGCCCTTACAGTTCATACCAACTTTGTAGTCCAGTGCTTATCCTACAACACCACACCAGGATCCCATATATGTTGTATATACATGTTATTAAGGGCCGTCAAGTCAGTTCCAATTTACAGTGACCCTGTGTAGGGTTTCCGAGGAGCAGATGGTGAGCTTGAACCGCTGACCTTGTAGTCCAGCTCATTAATCCACAGTGTCACACCAGGACTCCATATTTATATACATAGGAGCCCTGATGGTGCAGAGGGACTCCTGATGTGGTGCTGGATCAGCACTGGACTGCGAACCACAAGGTCGGTGGTTCAAATCCTCCAGCTGCCCTTCAGAAACCCTACACAGGGTCAACTATGAGTCAGAACCGACTCGACGGCACTGCACAACAAGAATGGTGTAGTGCCTAATGTGCTGGACTGCTAACCAAAAGACCGGGTATTGAACCCACGAACAATTCCATGGAGAAAGATGAGGTAGTCTGCCCCCATGAAAATTTACAGCCTTGGAAACCCTATTGGAAGTTTTCTACCCTACAGGGTCACTATAAGTCAGAGTCATTGAGATAGTTATGAACCCCTGGGGGGCACAAACAAATGGGCTGGACAACTAACTGAACTGGTGGGGTGGGGGGTGGTGATTCAGACTTACCCAAAGGCATCTCGGCAGACAGGCCTGGCCCTCTGCTTCCCAAAGGTCATATCCCTAAAAGCCCTCTGGGGCAGTTCTCCTCTGCACACCTAGGATCAGCAGGAGTCAGAATTGATGACAGCAACTCCCAACAACAATAAGCCTCTTTGTGTAGTTTCAGATATATTGTGGTATGCACACACACTCAGAAGGAGCTCTGGTACGAATTGGGCTGCGAACCTTAAGGTCAGCAGTTCGAAACTACCTGCTGTTCCGCAGGAGAAAGATGAGGCATTCTGCTCCCATAAAGATTTAGAGCCTCGGAAACCCTGTACAGGGTCGCTATGAGTCAGTTCCGAGTCTGCAGCACATAACCACCACCACCACACACACTCAGGAAATCCAAATTAGATAGAAAACATGTTGCTGTTAAGTGCCATCGAATCTGTCCTAATTCACAGCGACTCTGTATAGGGTTTCTGAGGAGCGGCTGGTGGGTTTAGAGCTGCTGACCTTATGGTTAACAGTCCAGTGCTGATCCTACAGCCACACCAAGACCCCTTTTAGAAAGCAAATGCCTGCAAAGCAAAGAAAGCATGATATCTATTTCAAATCGGTATAAATGTTAGGAAAAGGTCACCTGGTCATGTGGAGTTTTGATGTGCTTTTGCTCCAGCTGTGGAGCAGGCTGAGACTTGATGTCATCAAATCAAAGGCCCCACCCATAACAGCACGGGGACTTCTTGTGTGGATGCTGTTTATTTGGGGCTGTTTAGTTAGAACGCCTCTGACCTCAGTATCAGACTCATGATCCTTACCGAGATCAAGCGTCTCCTGTTGAAACTGCTAACCTTCTCACTGTTTCCACTGGGGTTTCTGTACATGGCAGGCGTGTCTTTAACACACTTGAGAAAGGGTAGAACTCCCAAAGCACTATCTTCTCTCTCACCATCTCTTCTCCACTCTCATTCCCACTACCTTCGCCAGCTCTCCACTCTCCAGCCTGTTTCTCCCAATGCCCATGCCTCTACGATACCTGTACCATCTCCTCAGGGCCCATCCCGGCCCCCCATCACCTGCTTGGAGGGCTTCCGTCTGTGTGTTCAGTGCTGGGATTGCTGTGTGCTCCTCTGGAACATCCCCGTATTTCTGGGGTCTTTCCTGCAGCTGCCCTGGGTGGAAGGCAAGGGGCAGCCATGTCTGTGTTCTTCCAGTATGAGTTATGTTTAAGGTGATACTGGTGATGGTGGTGCTGGTGTGCCGTGGAGTCGGTCCCAACTCATAGTGACCATGCATGGGGTTTCTGAGGCTGTAAATCTTTACAGGAGCAGAAAGCCTCATCTTTCCCCTGCGGAACTGCTGGCCATTTCGAACTGCTGCCCTTGAGGTTAGCAGCCTGACTCATAACCACTATACTACTAAGTACCAGCATCTTCCCACCACCCTGCTTTCATTTTTTTCCTTCGTCTTTCCAAGCATTTGTCCATGCACATACATATTTTCTTAATTGATTCTTACCATCCTTCGATAAATCCACACCCATATAGGAAATCTGATTGTAGAGTTTGTTTCTGACTGCTAATTTCCTTAAGTGACAGCTTAGAGTCCTGGTGTGATGCTATAGGGTCAGTACTGGACTGCTAACCAGAAGGTCAGCAGTTCAAACCCATCAACCGCTCCTCAGAAACCCTCTTCTGGGTCGCTATGAGTTGGAACTGACTCGACTATACTTAACAGCAGCCACAAGTGACAGCTTAAACAAGTATCTAAAGTTTGGATGAATATATTAGTCTTTTTCAGGGCCTTCTATAGATAGCGAACTCTTTGCTTTATTTAAAAAAATTTAGAGAATGTTTTATAAACACCTTGCTTTTTACATAAATCTGTGACACTTTATGTACTCACAGAATTCCCAGATTTTAAAAAATGTTCCTTCGTTTTGATGGTAATACAAAATGCTCAGGAAAAATGTGACCTTTCTAATTTTTTTTCTAGAGACTGTTCATGAAGTTTTAAATATTATCACATTTTGTAGCAACATGAAAGATATTTACAATGCTAGGTATAAAGGAAACAAAAGCACAGTTCACTGATTATGATTATGAAATGATATCTGGGCATGTGTCTGAGTAGCTGGAGGGAAGATCAGGTATTATAATATTGGTAGATTGAGGGAGTCCTGGTGGTGCCATGGTTCAAGCACCTGGCTGCTAACCAAAAAGGTAGGCAGTTCAGCCCCACCAGCCATTCCGAGGGAGAAAGACCCTGTAGGGCAGCCCTACTGTGTCCTCTATGGTGACCAGGTGTTGGAATCCACTTGACAACACTGGGCGACTTTTATGGGTTTTAATTTTCATTTTGAATTCCCCATTATGTTTCTTTACAATAAAAATTAAAAGAGAAATACAGTTTTGGGTGTACCATGATAGTAAGTATTTGTGATATCTGTCTACATATTGTAAATGTAGCTTATTTTTTGGTCAGAATGTTTTCAGCTAGTGATACACCATTTTATCATCCCTGTGTTTCTGAAGCTTCTGTGTTGAGGAAGGGGTATTGCTGGCTGGCTGGCTGGTTAACTCTGAGACCGGGTGTTGGTTTTCAGAGTCACCTTACTGCTCCAAGCCTAGAAATGTGGCATCGTGGAGGTCCCTCAGGACCATGGGGAGCATGCCTGTGAGCAACAGAATGTCCCTGACCCCACAGAAGCTGTGGCTCGGAACTTCAAAACAAGGTAGGTGGTCAGGCTAGCACACAGGCTTCGCACTGTGTGGAAGAGAGTTATGATGACACGAGATGCAATTTTTCACTTAATGGTTTAAATTGTAGTGTTTTCAATGGTGTGTGTCCATTGATTTCCGATGGTGTGTGTCCGACGCTGCAGCCTCTGCTGTCTCGTGTGGTTTGGGTGCTGCTAATGTGGGGTGCTGGAGCCAGCCCCTCCTGGCTCTGTGAGAGCTAGACCTCTAGGCATTCTGTCACTCTGGCAGCTTGGAATTAGAGACGGTGGGAATACTTACACCACGGACATCGGTAGATGCTTCAAGTTTTTCCCAGCACCCCACAGACTGGCTGATGGCCAGGAGGCTTGATCATCAGAGGCAGAACCTTGCTTGTACCTGTCATTAAACCCGTGCACGTTCAAACCAGGAAGTGTGACCCAAGCCCTGACACCAGAGCTCACCTGGGAGCAGGCCTGGAACAGCGCCCCCAGCAGCACCTCTGAGTATCTGACAGAAGCCCTGAGGATTCGGAGGTCCAGCCTCAGGCGCTCCGCCAGCCACGGTGAGCATGTGACAGGACAAAATGACGAGGAAATCGTGTGACTGACCAGGATGGTCTTTGCTGCTTTCCTTGCTTGGCCAGTAGATTGTGGCCCATCCCGGGCGTGATTCCTGAAATCCCTCCTGCCCTCAGCAAATGGCTTTGAGACAGCTGGTAGCTCAGCTGTTGCCTGCTCTGGATTTCGTCTGTAAGTTCATCCCCATGGGACTGGCAAATGATAATGAAAAGCCAGAATCCCACTGTGAACATTCAGTTGGTTTTCCTTTTCCTTTCTTATCTTGCAATCTTTAAAGAACCCTGGTGGTGCAGTGGGTTAGGCATTGGACTGCTAAATGAGAAGTCAGCTGTTCCAACCCACTAGCTGCTCCATTGGAGAAAGATGAGGCTGTCTGCTTTGGTGAAGATTATAGACTGAGAAACCCTGTTGTACTCTGGAATTTTGGGTTCTCTCGTTTTGATCCTTTAATTGCCTTTACTGTAGACCTTCTTAGGAAAGACAGCTCAGCTTCCAGGCCAGAGCATATTGGAGATCATTCCATTGTACCCCATGAATTGATCTGAGTAAGTTGTACCCCATTGGGGTTTCTGTGGCTACGTCCTTTCAGAAGCAGGCAGTCAGGACTCTCTTCATGGCACCTCTGGGTGGACACAAACCACCAGCCTTTCTGGTAGCAGCTGAGCACGATTACTCTACTGCTTTTAGTGGTTGTGAGTTGTATTTCAGGGTCAAGTACTTGGGAGTCCTGGTATATGTCAGATAGCTTGTTGAAGCCAAAGTGAGATCTTACTGTTTCTACACTGGAATAGGAGGAGTTGTAACAGACGTCTGTTTTTGTTGTGTTTGCTATTTCAGATACAATGTGTCATTTCTTTCATGGCTCCCTTTCATTCACCCTTATACTTACGTTAAGTTCTGTTTACTCCCCACCCCCCACTTCATCTTTATGTATTACTGTGATTTTTTAAAATTTCCTTGCTTCTTAGAAAAGGAGCATTGTTGGCACAGTGGTTAAGTGCCCGACTGCTAACTGAACAGTCGGTGGTTCGAATCCACCTGCCATTCTGCTGGAGAAAGATGAGACAGTCCGCTCCTGTAAAGACGGACAGCTTTGGGAGCCCCATGAGGCAGTTCTACCCCATCCTACGGGGCCACTATGAGTTGGAATCGACTCAGCAGCAGAGGATTGGTTTTGGTTGGCTGGTGGTGCCATGGTTAAGTACTTGGGCAACTAAACGAGAGGTTGGTAATTCAAACCTACCCAAGCAGCGCCACTGTTGATCCGCTTCCATCAAGATTTACAGCCTGGAAAACCCCTCCGGGGCAGTTCCAGCAGGGTCTCTGTGAGTCAGAATCCACTCAACAGCAGTGGGTTTGCTGGCTTGATCCAGCTAAAAATGGTGGACGACTTTTGCTCTCCTTTTCATGACCCCCACCCCTTGTTTTCAAAGCATAATTGTGTTAGCTTGCAGACCTTCCTTAGGGTAAAAGCCCTCCCTTCTGTTGGGATAATCTCAAAGAGGTTTGTGTCTCCTCTAGGTCGTGTCCCTGGAACCCCCGCCTACAGAGATAAAGAAGACATGTACGACGAGATCATCGAGTTGAAGAAGGTAGTGTTTCTGTCTGTCCTTACCTGTGTGGAACGGTGGGGTGGAGGTCAGCGTCTGTGTGGGGCACTGCCCTTACAGAACCAGCAAGAGCTCTAGCGCCCGGTACCTCACCCCAACTCTACATCCCCTGTGGGCTCCCATCTCCTGCAGATTGGAAAGACTGGGGAGGCACTCTGTGGCCCTCACAGCCCCCTGTGGCCTGAGGACTGGTGCTAGGTTTGGGCTGTGTGAGGCGTTGTTCTCAGCAACCTTCCCTCTGGGTCATTCTCACATGTGGACAAGACGATGTCTCACAGGCCTTGTGGCAGCTCGGCTTTCTAGAAGCTCTATGAGGTGGGCGGGGCCAATTGTCATACCTGCTTTCTGGTATGAGCTTGGGGCTCAGAGAGGTTAGTGCTCTGCCCAGGGTCACACAGTATCAGAGCCAGAGATTCCAGTCAGGGACATATGACTCCTCAGACTGAGGATCTTCCCATCGCTGGAGTGTAGATACCTTGAAATCTTCCCCGGATACTAACGCTATTGTCACGGTGACTTTTACCAAATTTCACAGAAACTTTTGCATTCCTGGAAGGAAGTCTCAGGGTTTGCTCTCTTCTTCATGAGTTTAGTCTGTTTATAAACCACTGTCCCTACCAGCGAGCACCTCAGGAGGCCTGGGTCAGGGTGTAAGTGGACGCTGGTCCTAAGCACAACCAGAGCACGGTGTGGGGTCTGGAAACCACCTCAAGAGTCCTGGGGTCAAGGTATAAGCGGGACGTTGGTCCTGAACCCACTCACAGCACTATATGGAGTCTGAAAACCATGTCCAGAATCTGAGGAGTTCTGGGGTCAGGGTGTAAGTGGATGCTGGTCCAGAACACCGTGTGGGGTCTGGAAACCACCTCCAGAACCTCAGGAAGCTTGGTGCCAGGGTGTAAGCTGTGCACAGATCCCAAGCTCATCCACAGCACCGTGTTGAGTCTGAAAACCACTGGTCTAGAGAGCCAGTGGAGAACCTGGGAATTGTAGGAGAGACGGGGGACTGTCTCAGCTCTCACCATGACAGCTGTCTAACCAGGAAAGAGATTGCCCATGATGACGCACACTCCTGTCCTTAGGTCAGCAGAGGGTCATTGGGATTTTGTGGGTCAGGCATGGAGGGTTCTACAAATGAACTCCAGGAGGCTGTGAGCCCTTGTCATAGCCAATCTCTGGGGAGCAATCTTCTTGAATTGCTTGGGGTTCACAGCGGGTCTCCGAGTAAGATTACATGGACTTTACTCAAACTCAGCATTGTGGATAAAATCACCCCGGACTTCGGAATTCAGAGAGAGGAGAACCTAATGTTCAGTTTGCTTTGTCGCTCTGGAGTCAGAGCATCAGAGTTGTTTTCTATGACAAGTGATGCTTCAGTTTCCTGCCGAAAAAATGAGGTAATCGTACTTACTTTTCAGGGTTGCTGTAAGGCTTAAGTCAGAGAACCCAGGGAAATACTCTATTTTAGTACAGTGTTTGGCAGACAGCAAGAGGTCAGTAAGCATCGGCCATTTCTTTAAAACTTGCTTTGACAGAGTGGTAGAGCACCAGGAAGTTGCAAAGACAGTGGTTTCTGCCAGCAGTGTCTGTCTGTCTATCTGATGTAGCTATTGTACCACATCAACACCAGAAGACTAAGAAGGTGTGTGTGTGGACCTGTGTCATAATTACCACCGCTTTCTCGACACAGGACTATTCCATCACCACAGAGATCTTGTGTATGCCCCTCCCCTCCCCCAGCATCATCTTTAACCCCTGAACAATCACTAATTTCCCAGTGACATCTCTACAATGATGTCACATGGAGAACATGATGTCAGTGTAGCATTCCGTCTTTTGAGACTGGCTTTTTTTTCTCACTGGAAGCTATTGCATATGCCACACCCTGTTCTCCGATCAGGATGTCTAGACTATATCATGACCAAAGGGGACCCAGATGTGTATGGGGTTGGATACTGCCCAAATGGACATTACAAGAAACATGTCTGCTGGTGCCGAAGTTGTACCAGTTTGAGTGTAGAAACCTTACGTCCTTTTATGCTCCTCGGCTCTCCTAAATTTATTGTACAATTGTCCTAAATGTTTCCCCCTATAGAAGGTCCCAGTTGGGGCCAGAGTTTTCACTAGGCTGCTAACCTCAGGGGGAAAAGTCCTGCTAATCTGCTTTTGTGAAGGTGATAGCCAGGAAAATCCGGTGGGGTTCTACTCTGTAACTCGCGGTCACCATGAGTCAGAATTGACCCGATGGCTAGTAGTAACAACAATAATGCATGGAGAACCACATTAGGCAATTTTGTGCTGTCAAATGTAAGTCAGAAAACTCAACAGGAAAAAGAAAGTCTGTTGAATTTATCCATAGTTTTACTTTTTTCCATTTCATTTCCTCCTGCCCTGTTCATCGGTCCTTCTTTTAGCATTATCTTTTCTGTGTTGACCACTTTCGTCTTAGGTCTCTTGGTTTACTTTCATTTGAGCAGGTCTTGATTTTGTTTTCATTCTTGAAGGGTGTTTTTGCTGGACATAAAATTTTGATTCGACAGTTCTTTTCTCTCAGTACTTGAAACATGTTGTACCCTGGTTTCTGACGAGAAATCCACTGTCATTTGAATTGGTACCCCTCAAAGGTAAAGCATTGTTTCTCACTGCTTTCCACATTTGTTTGATTGAATTTGTTTTGACTGTGATGTGTTTCAGAGTGGGTTTCTTTGGGTTTATCCTGTTTGGGTTTTGTTCAGCTTCTCAAATCTGTGAATTTATGCCTTTGGCCAAATTTGTAGAACTTTCTAGCTTCTTCGAATTCTTTCTCAGACTCACCCTCTTTTGTTCTAGGCCCCCCATCCCTGAGGCTCTGTTTGCTTGTTTGTTTTTGTCTATTTTCTGTTGTTCCGATTGTATCGGAGTGGATCGATTCTGTTGTGTATCACTTAGCTCACTGTCTTTCCTCAGTCCCCTCCCATCTGCTGTTAAACCGTTCATTTTTTCTCTCTTTTCATTTTCATTCTTGTACTTTTCAGTTCTGAACTTTCCGTTTTCTTCTTTTCATCTTCCATTTCTTTGCAGAGACTCTTCATCTCTTGGATTTGTGCCTTGTTGTTGTTGTTGTCAGGTGCCATCGAGTCAGAACCGACTCATAGCGACCCCATGCACAACAGAACGAAACAATGTCCAATCCTAGGCCAACCTCACTACCGCTGCCACACTTGAGTCCATCAATGATGCCACCTGGCCATTCCATCTCGTTAGAGGTCTGCCTCTTTTTCTCTGACCCTCCACCTTACCCAGCATGACATCCTTCTCCAACGATTGTTTCCTCCAGACAATATGTCCAAAGTATGAGAGACGAAGCTTAGCCATCCTGGCCTCCAAGGAGCATTCTGGCTGCACTTCTTCCAACAACAGCCCATGGCACCTTGAGGATTCTCCTCCAACACCACAACTCAAAGGCATCAGTTCTTCTACGATCTTCCTTATTCACTGTCCAGGATTTGTGCCTAGCACGTCCGTAATTGGTAATTTTGTCATAATGCCCTGATATCTGTGCCCTCTTGACGTTGACTGTCTGTTGGTGGCCTTTTTTCATTCAAATAGAGAGCTTCTTTCTTCTTGATAAATCATTTCTGTTGAAGCCTGGCTATTTGAGAATTCATGAGATTTTATACCCTACATAAGTGTGTTGTAATGGGGTTCTGATTCCACTCTGGTGGGTGACGGGGGTGGAGGGAACACCACCCCATTACTGCTCTGTGGGGGTAGAAAGCCAAGTTCTCCTCTGCCTTTGCTAACTACCACATGGGGAGGAACTTTTTTTCACTACTGTGTAGGGCATGGGTTCAGGCTTCTTGCTAGGCTGACCCCACCCTGACTGGACTGGGCAGAGCAAGGGTGCCTCATGCTGCTTCCCACACCACAGGGGGAGTGGGGCCTTGTGACCTCTGGGCAATTTAAGTCCTGACTTCCCCCCTGTGAGGAGGGGGAACTGAACCTCAATACGGCCTGGTGAGGATGGGGTCTGGCTCCCGACCAGCCCATGCTGGTGGACTTGAGGCCTGTTTTCCCCATGGTGTTAGGCTGTACGGACGGTTACTATCTCGGTTTTCTGCCGTGCTGGGCTGCCCCTCTTCTGGTCCTTTGGCTCAAGAATAGAGGTTGTTCTCGGGGCTCCAGCTCTTTCAGGCTGTTGACTTTGCCAACACTCACTCCAGGGGACATGAGGCATAACGAAAATAGTTGGAGTGTAACACCTTGTCTTTTCTAGGTCCCAAGGTCCCTGGTCAGTCCACCGTCTTCTAGACAGTTTTCCTAGACGTCTTATGTGTGCTTGGTATACAGGGTTCCGGGTACTGAGCCATACCAGGCAGGAGGAATAGGGGGAAGTGAGTCTTGTCACTTAAGAGATTTCTCTTTCCCAATGACAACACATTCCTCTATTCAGGAAGCACTGATTATGTGCCGCAGCTCTGTGGTGTCCCCAATCTGGTCAGCTTTCGGAAGAGTGGCCCTTGCATTCTGTGTCTAGCGGAGCTGACTGGTTTGGCTCAGACATCCTGTCTCCCCGCTGAGCTTCATGAGCCCCTTGGAAGGAGAGGATGCTCTGTGAGACAGCTGGCCAATGCTCAGAGCAGCCTGGTGCTGGGGCAAGCTGTGGCTCGCAGCTGACCCATAAGGCTACAGGTCATCTCCTGCTTCTCAGGCTTCCAGTGTCCACAGACCATGACAGAGATTTTTTTGGGGTGGGGCGGGGGGATTGTTGGGGAAATAAAAATGAAAAATACCCTGTCGCCGTTTGTTAGTTGTTAAGTGCCGTTGAGTCGCTTCTGACTCATAGCGACCCTGTATAGGGATTCCAAGGCTTTAAATCTTGTGGGACCAGAAGGCCTCATCTTTCTACCATGGAGTGGCTAGTGGGCTTGAACCATGGACGTTGTGGTTCTCAGTGAATTGCTTATCGTATGAAGCCACTACGCTCCCATCAAACGACTAGGTATGTCCAGAAGAGAACGAAAGAAGTTTGTCATTTCAAAATGCAGGATGGCTCTTTCCATGAAATAAAATTCGTTTTGAGAAAAATTGACTGCCCGGTCTCGTTCTCTCCTGCTCAGTTCACCACGACCCGTGAAAAACTCACGCCCAGACAAGGGTCTGGGGAGCGCTGCCCACTGAGCCTTAGTTGAGGGTGGGACTGTTCAGTGGGTACCCTAGCCTGTGATGGACTCTGATGCTAATGTGGCTGTGGGCTTCCTCATGTGGGCATGGAGGCGGCACCGGCTGGAATCTATGGCTGCGAGGCCACTTGTTGGTCAGATGTGAAGCAGCTTTATTATCTATGGGGTGCTGTTGGCATATTGGGTGGAAGAGTTTATTGTCGGGCATTTCACTGCCCCCAGCTCCCAACATGCCAATTGTGCCCTTCAGACAATGTGACCACCACCACCCCAATCCCCCTCCTCCCCCTGCTACCCTGATTGGGAGTCAGGTCGCTTTTTAAATTATTTCCCAGCTTCCTTTTAAAATTATTTCCCAGCTCCCTTTTAAAATTATTTCCCAGCTCCCTGTTTCACCGGCCATTTGTCTATCATTGTGTGTGTGTCCATGGATGCATGCGTGTGCATGTGTGTGCGGTCCTTGTCTCTTCAGTCATTACACACGCAGAAAAGTGACGTAGATCTGCTGAGGACAAAGCTCCGGCGCGTTGAAGAGGAAAACAGCAGGAAGGACCGGCAGATCGAACAGCTTTTGGATTCCACTAGAGTAAGTTGAAGGCTTGGTGCCCCAGGGGTGGTGCCCTGACTGGAGGCAAGGAGGCCAAAGGACTGATGGGAGGACAGGCTGAACCACATGTCTCATTTCTCAATTGCAGGGCCCAGATTTCATGCGGACTTTGGCAGAGAAAAGGCCTGATGCTAGCTGGGTGAGTAGTCTCCAGCAAGACTGATCACTTTTCCACTGAGATTACAGTTGAGAGATGCCTTTTCACAAAAGCACTTGTACAAGAAGAGTAAGAGATCTGGGGACGGCCTAAGAATGTTCCAAAACTGTCATCCATGGGACCATGGGATGGATTCTAAGAAGAATAACGTACATGGGAAGGGCTCAGAACTTTCTAAAACCGTTCTCCATGGGTTCCAAGAAGAGTACGAGATATAGGAAGGACTCCGACATATTAAAACTGCCTTCCATGGGACCATAGGGGTTCCAAGAAGTGTAACATGGGGAAAGGGCTCAGAGTGTTCCAAAACCAACCTCCACGGAGCCATGGGGATTCCGAGAAGAGCAACAGACACATAGGAAGGGCGCAGAACCTTCTAAAACTGTTCTCCATGGAACCATGGAGATTCCAAGAAGAGTAACTTATAGGGGAAGGACTCAAAATGTTCTCAAACTGCCCTCCATGGAGCCATGGGGTTCCAAAAAAGAGTAAGAGCTACAAGGAAGGACTCAGACATTCTAAAACCATGGGGGTTCCAAGAAGAGTAACATGGGTGAAGGGCTCAGAACTAAAACCACTCTCTATGAGGGATTTCAAGAAGAGTAAGAGATCCAAAGAAGGAGTCACAGTGTTCTAAGACCACCCTCCATGGGTATTCCAAGAAGTTGCTTTTAGAGTTGTCCTGGGGAGTTTGAGGGAGGCCTCCCCAAGGGCCAAAAAAACATGTAGGATAATAATAGTCATTATGCAGGACTTCTCCATCATTCTCACAAAGCAAACATCATAACTGACATTGATTTGAAACAGAAACAAATCCAGTGGAATAGAATCAAAACTAAAATAGATACAGACACCTCTTATATCATATGTACTGTCGCCGTGTGCCATCAAGTTGATTCCAACTCAGCGACCCTGTATAGAGTTTCTGAGAGCAACTGGTGGGTTTGAACTGTCAACCTTGTGGCTAGCAGTCCTGTGCTTATCCTACAGTGCCACACCAGGGCCCATATGATGTAATACTATGTAACAAAAGAAGCTAGATGTTGGTAAGGAGCCATTATGTGGGGAGTGCCATGGCTGTCTACTCGAGCAGGTGGAGAAAAACGGATCGCTGTCAACTTTCAGGCGGGAGAAAGTTGAGGTTTCAGCTCCTGTGTAGATTGCAGCTTTGGAAACCCTATACAGAGTTGATGTGAGTCAGAACCCACTTGATGGCACTTAACAACATCCATCAACTTTTTTGAGTCGAGGGACTTTTTCTTATAAACCACACGCCTCAAAGACCCAAAGAAAACAGAGACATTTGAGATTATTGACAACAAAGAATAAAATCATATTAGTGACATGGGTTTGATAAATTCAAATTTGCATAACTGATAAAAGTATGAGGAAAACTAAATGGGTAGGATAGGGAGATGGCTAAATACAACAAAATTTTCTATCCAGAATATATGAAAGGGCTTCCAAAATTGCTTGGAAAAATTATATTACCTTCCAATTCCATTTTTCCACCAACTTTTTGAAGCTCTCTCTATATAAAGAATACCCATCTACAAAGGAAAAATGTGATTAACACCCAGTTCTGTACCTTGAAGAGACACAACCACAAACCAAAACCACTGCCATCCAGTCGATTCCAATATACAGCAACCCTGTATATGGGGTTTCTGAGGCTGCTAATCTTCGCCAGAGCAGCCAGCCTCATCTTTCTCCCATAGTGGGTTTGAACCACTGACCTAGCAGTTAGCAGTCCAGTGCTTATCCCATAGTGCCACCAGGGCTCCTTGGAAGAGCACATGTTCTTATTAAGTGCCGTCGAGTTGGCTCTGACTCATAGCAACCCTGTATAGGGTTTCCATAGAACGGCTGATGGATTGGAACCACCGACCTTGCAATTAGCAGCCCAGTGCTTATCCTATAGTGCCAGGAAGAACACATAGTAAATATTTAATCAGTGTGGGTGAATTGTGTAGCTGTATCATTTTTAAAGTACATTGTCTCACTTGATGTTAACTGTTGGTGAGAAGAGTGTACACGTCAGAACAGCCACCAGGGCCGTTGTTTTTATGTATACCCTTGAGGACACGTGTGACGTTCTTCAAGTCAAACAACCCTTCTTGCCCTCCTTTTCTGAGCTGTTTCTCCCCTGTGAACACAAACTCATGTCCCCAAGCCTCCTGTTGAACCCTTCTTGTTGCTGTGGTCAGTTTGGCCTCACTGAGCTAACTTTTTAAAAGGGCATGATCACGATGCTCAAGGCAGAGAAGCCAGCTTACTGTCTGATTGGAAGATGACTTCAGGGGATGTTTTTAGTTTAAGGCTTGCAGTCCATCCTTATTTTAAAATTGGGAAACCAAAGTAAAGGAACTTGACCAAGAGGGTTATGGGTGGTGATGCTGAAGCCCATGAAGGCAGGTGGCATTTCTGTCGGTCCTGCCCCCGCTGACAGTCAACACCTGAGTGGAGAAATTATTTTAAATGACTCTGAGCACAGCCTCACACCCCAGTTTAGCAAAATGAGCCCGAGATCCACCACACCAATACTGGCTGGGCTGTGAAAAAGCAGATGTGTATGGTTTTAAACTGCAGCCGTTGCACTGTAAATCGGCATGGGCATTAGGAAGAACTTCGTTGTAGAACTGAGACACCATTTGTGGAATACTGTTCTTTTGGGGTCTGTGTCTCGAAAATAATCCAACACAAACAAAACAAAGCAGAAGGATATTTATAGTTGCCCAGTGTTGGTAAAAAAAACATTCAAAGCAGAATAGTGCTACATCAAAACATCTTTGGGGGGAAAAAATAAAAGGGATTATAAAATGGCACAGCTATATATATATATACAGGAATGTCCACATGATTAATTTTCAGGAGGGCACAGACTTCTGCATAATATGGTACCTTTTTTGAGAAAGGGCTCCTCTGATATTGGGGTGTGGTTATCTTTTATCATAAAAGCTGATTTACAGGTAGAAATTCATAATCATTGGATGTGTGCTATTTCCATTGTAATGTTGTTAGGTGCCGTCGAGTTGGTTCCGACTCATAGCAACCCTCTGCACAACAGAACGAAATTCTGCCCGGTCCTGCGCCAACTTCATAATCATAGCATTTCGTTTCAGTACCCACTGCCAGGTAGAGTGTGTGCCCTGGGATTGAACGCTTCTAGTTCTCCATCTCGATGCTCAAGAAATACTTGCACTGGTGTATGAGGAGGCCCTACTGGGGGTTTCCATGGAAGCTTGTCTGGTCACAAACATTGGTCCCACTGGTAGGAAAGTGTGCATGTGGACTGCAGTATGCTGGTGCTCTGGAGGACTGGCATGGGCATACAGGAGCCAGGGGGTCGTTCACCAAGGTAGACTATTGAGTGAACAAAGCATACTGCTGAATGAAATGAACAGAATAGCACCGTCATCTCAGGTTCTTCATGTATGCACACACGTGAGGAGGTCTGTAAGGCACATACTCAGTTGAGGGCAGTATGTACTTGGGCAATGGGTGTCCAGGCCAAAGTGTGCTTTATAGCTTCATCTGTAATGTTTTAAGGAGTCTTGGTAGCATACCGATTAAAATGCTTGGCTGCTAACCAACAGGTCAGTGGTTGGAACCCACAGGCTGCTCGGCAGGAGGAAGACAAAGCTGTCAGTGTCTATAAAGATTTACAGCCTGGGCAACTCTGTGGGGTAGTTCCACCGCGTGTAGGGCCACTGTGAGTCACAATGGAATTCACTGCAGTGGGTTTGGTTTTTAAAGAAGGTTTTAATTATTTTTTTTAATAGGAAAATATATATGCCTTCTATTATTTTTTTAAAAAACCAGTTGTCATCCAGTGGATTCCAACGAATGGTGATCTCATGTGTCAGAGTAGAACTGGACCACACAGGGTTTCCAGTGGCTCTGACAGAAGTTTGCCAAGCTTTTCTTCCTGGGTGCTTTTGCCTTTCAGTCAGCAGTCGAGCCTGATCACCTTACTGCTTTTAGGGGCTCGAAGTTATAATTCAGGCCTAGAAATGTAGAGTCCTGATATATTGATATATTGAAGCCAAAGTGAAATGTTTTGGATTTTGCTTTTCAGTTCATAGACAAGCACGTTTACCTCTTGCACTGCCCAGGGATACAAAATCATTGACATTTACTTTAAAATGTAATTATTAAAATACTGGTTGGTCATCCAGAAAGAAAGAGGCTGTTCCCAGGAGTATATGGGTGTCCCTGCCCCCACCCCCCATGGATAAGAAGGGAGTCTAAAACGGGTTGGCTTCCTCCAGCCCTAGACTCCACTCAGGTCCTTTCTGGGGCCATAGCATTGGAGTTGTGCGTGCTGCCTGATCTCCTACGCATGGCAACCCGTGGGATTTCCTAGGCTGTCATCTTTATGGGAGCAGATCACTCGGTCTTTCTACTGAGGAGCCTCTGGGTGGATTTGAATGGCTGCCCTGTGGGTTGTACCACCAGGTATCCTTGGGCAAGAGAGCGTCCCTTTAAAATCCCTGCCAAACCTCCTGAGTCAGGTGGGGATGAGTGTGTGTGTGTGTGTGTGTGTGTGTGCACTGAGTGCAAACCACACTCAGTGTCATCTGCATCTCGCTGAGTCCCTAGTCCAGAGACTGTAATTACAGGAGGAAGACCGGCCTTGTGGGGACAGTGCGGTAGCTCCCAGGGCACCTTGTGGAGGGAGGGGACGGTCAGCTCCACAGGCCATTCTGTCGGCAGGTGGTCAATGGGCTGAAGCAGAGGATCCTCAAGTTGGAGCAGCAATGCAAGGACAAGGACAGCACTATCAAGTACGGGCGGCACCAGAGATGGGGGGGCACCCTGGGAGGGGGCAGACACTCTACGGGTGGGGACACACTGTGAGCCAGGCCAGGAAGGAAGGATAGAGGGTCCTGCCTCCCCACCAGGCGAGCAGGGACCGACCGTCTTCTCCTCTGGGTCTGTCATCTCGGGGGCTGGCTGCGCCCACCTTGGCTGTGTATCCCCAGCCCTGCGCTCTCTTCACAGCTCCCCTCTTTCCTGGGCCTGCTTTTCTGCACTCTGGGTGATCTCCTGTCTCCTAGTCTTGTTCCCATGAGGACGAGCTGCTCCCCACAGTTTCCTGTGGCCCTATGTACCCCAGTATGGAAGGTCTGTCCCTCATTGCCCCCAGCTGCCCCCTGGGCTGCTTCTTCCTCACTTGCCTTTCAGCGCAGAGGGGTCATCCTTTCTCAAGCGGTTCCTGTTTCTGTCTCAGCTTTATACAGTAGCAGCCCCGCCCTGCAATTTGTTTCCTGATGAAGTTTGTCTACAAGACATCTTACCAGTCTGCTGTGTTCCCGAGTCCCAACCTCTGTGCTTTTGGCTCCCTTGGTGTCCAATCCACTGTGTGCTGAGGAACCTCAAGTGTGAACAGACCCTCAAGTCATTCTCTGCCTGCCCCCAAAGAACTTTGCCCTTGCTAAGTCCTGAACTCAGTCTTTGGGTTTTTTTTTGCTTTTTATTGTGAATTGACAATGCAGACTGTGAAGGTGAACAGTAGACCATCTGTTTTACAGCCAGCAGTCCATACACATTTTGTTTCATGTAACTGATTTCAACCCTCTCCATGTAACATCACATAGTTCACTTATTCCCTGGGTTTCCTGTTTTCATTCCTCCTTTGTTCCCCACCTTTCTAAACTTTGCCCCTGGGTAAATGCTGCCTTTTTGATCTCTAATGTTGACCATTCTATGGTGTATCTTCCTGGTGGTGTGTCACCCCACCACCACCACCTCCTATATATCTGTCTGTTGCTTGGCTGAAAGTAGAGCCAGGGGGCTGGCTTTGATTCCAGACCTGAAGGGTGGCCAAGGGCCGTGGTCTTAAGGTCCCATTAGTAAACCTCGTCCTTTTTTTTAAATGATTTTCAATTTTGTTCTACATTCTAAGGTGATCCCTCTCAGAACAGTTGGTAGTGGTCATCAGGCACCATTAAGTCCTTCTGGTCTCGGTCATGGAGCGTGCTCATCACGTGTTCTATCAGTCCCCTGGACTAATTGTTTCCAAGCGCTCACACTTTTCACCACTCTTCTTTCTCTGAGCAGGGGGAGATGGAGAGTTGCACCCTCGATGGCGCAACTCTCAATGGAGAGTTGCTGTGATTTGAAAGCTCGCATCCTTGTCGCTGTTGTTGTTGTTGAAAGCTCGCTTCCTCACTAGATGAGGGTATTTCTAAAGCTTCTTTACCTTTTTCTGTACCTTTCCTTTCCTTTTCCTGTACAGCGGCCAGTCCCTGGCAGCCAGAATACTGGCATGCTGAGTTCTCCCATCGGTCTGAGGCCCAGGCCAGTGCTGAGCACATGCAGGTCTCCATTCCCAGGCTGGGCCTCTTTCAGACCCTCAGGAGGCCTGAGAGACCATGCGTACACTTGCCCTTCCAGCCTCACCGCACTAACTCTCTGCTTGGTTCTCAGCAAGCTACAGACTGATATGAAGACCACGAATCTGGAGGAGATGCGCATCGCCATGGAGACATACTATGAGGAGGTATAGGACCCTGCCTTTTCCAGCACGTCACTGCTTGAGTGGGCATCCTAGCTGTTGGAGTGGTGGGAACAGGGGTCTGGCTGGCGCGTCCTTGTAGGGAGGGTTCCTTGTTTGTGATAGCCCCTAATGCGTCTTAACCTGGTCTTCGCAGATTCACCGTCTGCAGACCCTCCTGGCAACTTCGGAAACTGCAGGAAAGAAGTAGGACATGTCTCTGGGAGCAGATTCCCCAAGGGGCCTTGTACACTAGTGTGTCCTGCCCTGAGCCCTGGGGTAGGCCAGCACCTATGCGCAGGTGCTCAGGGCTGCATGCTGACACAACAGCCTTGCTTCCCCCCTCCCACCCCTCAGCTGTGCATACTCCAGATGTCTCCCGCTCAGTGTTGGGGGATGCTACCCCCAGCACATTCCCACATATGGAAAAATGCTTGATGCCAAGTGCAAGTTCACTTAGTTACCTACAGTCTTCCTAACTATGCTTACTGCATGCGATGTCTAGGTGCCCCTAGCGCATAGATCTCCCTCCTCCCTTGCCACGCAGGGTGATACCAGGCTTCCAACGGAGGGAGGATGACCCCTACCCCAGCCTCTACAGCTACCGCTGGCACAGAGCTTTTCCGCTGAACCAGCCATGCTTGTTCCTCTTGCTTCCTCCCCTGCCTCCTTCCCACCCCATGGTTTAAAAGCAAATCAGCAAACATCTCCTGTAAGAGGTCAGCCACCGCCATGAATTGATTCCAATTCAAGCAACCCTGTTGTTAAGTGCTGTCAAGCCAGTCTTGACTCAGAGTAACTGTATAGAGTTTCCAAGGAGTGGCTGGTGGGTTTGAACTACAAACCTTGTGGTTAGCAGCCCAGTGCTGATCCTATAGTGACCCAATTGTTGTTGTTAAGTGCTGTTGAGTCTGTTCTGATCCATAGGAACCCTACAGCGGCCTAGTGGTTGGTGGTGGTGGTTATGTGCTGTGGAGTTGGTTCCGAATCATAGCGACCCTGTACAGGGTTTCCAAGGTTGTAAATCTTTAGGACAGAATAAAACAGCCTCATGGGGTTTCCAAGGCTTATGGAAGCAGACAGCTTCATCTTTCTCCCGTGGAGTAGCTGGTGGGTTCAAACTGCCAACCTTGGAATTAGCAGCCCAACACGTCACCCCTGCACCACCCAGATGGTAATCGCTGTAGATTTTAGAGGGGAAAGCGATGGCATTACATTGTGAAGACAGAGTTCTGCACACCCATTAGTGATACAGTTAGAATACACAGGAGTGGGAGTGGGGAGCAGTGCTTTCCCTACCTGGGGTTCAGAGCCCATGTGCCAGCCTCTCTGGTCGCTAGGGCCCCTGTGGAGAGGAAGCTGAGCCTCAAGCGGCAGAAGAAGATGAGCAGCATTCTCTTAAACCTGTCACGGAGTGTGCAGGAACTGACTGAGGAGAACCAGACACTGAAGGAGGACTTGAACCAGCTACTCAGCAATCCCCCCTCCAGCTCCAAGATCCAGGGTACCCCAGGGCCCTTGCTGGGGCTGGGCAGGGAGACAAGGACCCAGGCATCCCTACATGGGGCTTCCAACAGTGCAGGGCGCCCTCAGAGTGCCCCCAGGCGGGCAGTTGAGACGAGGTGTGCTCGAAGTACCACACCGGGGCGTCTGTCAATGCCTGCTGTTCCTGCAAGCTACAACGAATGGAGCAAGCCCAGGCTGCTGCGTCGTATCACAGAGCTGGAGAAGGTGAGCGTGAGGGGGCATCCACGGAGGGGTGGGTCCAGGGCTGTGTGCACGCAGCCTCAAGAGCTGTAAGCCCAGGGCCCTTGTTTCACAGATGGGGAGCCCCTGTAGGTGGACATTCATGTGTGAACGTAGGTGGTGCACATGGTCCAAGCTCAGGACCTTCCAGGGTCCAGCCTGGCAGGCACGTGTCATGAGCTGTTGACTGGGGATGCTTGGATTCACACTAACTGTCCTGTCTGCCCCCTGTGAACTTACAGTGCAGTCATTAGGCCACTGTCCCAGCAGAACATTAGCTTAGAGCCCTCCATAATGTTTCATTAAGAGGGGGATTTAAAAGTAAATAAGTTCATACACTTAAAGAACAGAAACTTAGAGGGTTTCTATATATATATATATATAAATTGTGGGTATTTTATAAACTAAACCTTGTGAGGAACAATTTTCAACCAGAGCCCAGCTTTGTGGACTGAAAGACACTGAGCCCGTTTTGATTTCTACCACCTGCCCTTAGCTCTGTGCCCCTTCTGAACAGTCTCAAGGGCCTTTTCATTCGGAAATGCTAGGGACCCGATAGGGTAAATGAGCAAAAAGGACAAGAGTGGCTCACCTTCTCTCTGCCCTTCTGTGGGTAGGGATGTCCTCTCGGGGGTGTCCCCCAGTCCCCTCTGGGTGGCCTCGATGGGAAATGGCGACAAGAATGACATCTGATGACATCTGTGTTGCCCCCAGAAAGTGAGTTTGCTGGAAAGCCTCAAGTCGCACGCGTCTGAGCTGGTGAAGCCGAGCTCTAGACCCCAGTCCTCATCCACCTCCACCGTGCACCGGCAGCCCCACACAGACTCCCACGAGGAGCCGGAGCGCCTGCGGGGCACTCTGCGGATTCAGGACGAGCATGCCATCATGCACAGCCAGCTGCAGGAGACAGAGTAGGTGCTGAATGCTCACTTGTGGCCTTGTAGTGGGGCACAGAGCTCCTGTCTAGAATGAGACAGTTGTGGTGAATTTGGTGGTGCTGTGGGTTAGGCGTTGGACTGCCAACTGCAAGGTCAGCAGTTCAAGCCCAGCAGTTGATCTAAGGGAGAAAGACATGACAGTCTGTTCCCGTAAAGACGTGGAGTCTTGGAAACTCTACGGGGCCGGTTCCATTGTGTCCTATAGGCTCACTGTGAGTGGAAGTTCCCTCAGTGGCAGTGGGTTGGTTTTGGGATTTGGCTCAGCTACAGGAACCCTGGTGGCACAGTGCTTAAGTGCCCAGCTGCTGACCAAAGGATGATGGCCTATTCTACTCTGTCATGTGGGGTCGCCGCTGTGAGTCAGAATCGTCTCGACAGCATCCAACAACTACAGGCCCGTACCTAGTAGTTAGTGTCCAGGTGTTTGTACGTGATTCTGAAACTTCTGATATTTTACTGAGATAGAGGCAAGTCTGTGGTAAAAAGGTGGTAATCATCACACGAGGTGCTAGAAGAGTGCAGGCCAGCTGAGGAAAGCAGCATCTAAATCTCGTTTCAAGAGTCCAAAGGGAATCCCAGGTCCGCTTTTACAGAGGAACATGCTTTCCTTGGTTTGTGTAAAACAAGCTAGCCACCAGCAGGATCTTGTGTAATATGAATGTTTTACTAACTCTGTTTGGGCAGAGTTCAAGGATACTGTGGGCTTGGTACCAGACCTCTGCAATAAGGTGAAGGGGGCCACAAAGTGAGTCACAGGCATGTGTTGGTTTCCCAGCACGTAGACGAGTTGTGTTGATGGTTTACCACCACCTGTCACATGTACAGTAGTGTGATGAAAGAGTTTGAAATGTTGTGAGCGTGACTTACATGGGACGTAGAGACACGCTGTGAGCATTCACTGCTGGAAAACCGATGCTGATAGGCATGTTGGGTGCAGAGTTGTCACAAACTGTCAAACCCCACAAGACCTGTGAAGTGCAGTCCAGTGAGGTGGGCCTGTAGTACGGTCCTGGGCCTTCAGTCCTGGCATTGAGTCCTAACAGCTGTCGAGTGTTCACAGTGGCAGTAGAGCCTAGAGATCCTGGGTCCTCCACGCTCACCCTAGCTTCTCAGTCTGCAGCCTCCTCCTCTCCCATGCTTTATTGGAGACCCCCACAGCCACAGCCCTGATAGGCCTCTTTGGGCCGCTGCCACGGATCTTGAGTTAGCACAGCCCCCTGAACTCAGTGTGGCTGCTGGGGGTGTGCAGAGCTGGGGTCAGCTGGAGGAATGCTTCTGGTCAAACTCATATAGACATCTGAGGGATGGCCAGCTGGTCAGCATGCCTTTACTTAGCCCCCAGCTCCTCTGCTACTGTTCTAAAGTAGGTGGGGGCTTTGATAAGTTTATGTGAAAATCCAGTGTCTTCGTTCCATTTCTGAAGCCCCGTCATGGGTGAGGAAATGGAACAGCACACTTTTTCTGAAGGCCCCCTCCTCTGTGGTGCAACACCAGGGTGAACCCTAAGATGTCTCTGGTCCTGTGTCTGCAGTTTGGAAGTGAAGCAGCTGCTGCAGATGAAAGCTGACTTGGAGAAGGAATTGGCACACATGAAGGAGGGAGAGAAGGAGCGGAGAGAGAGGGAAGAGACCCTGAGGTAAGTGGGCTGAAGGAGGAGGGAGAGAAGCAGCAGACGTGGGGGTGTGGAGAGAGAAGGAGGAAACAGGCGGGCTGAAGAGATTTGAAGAGAACACACAGGATTTCCAATGCGCCCTGCCTCCAGGGGCTACCACCCCCCACCTATCCTCAGCAGGACGTCCAGACGTCCCCAGACTCTATCCTGATTAGTTCTACCTCTTCCTCAAGTCCCTGTGGTTTCCTGTCACCTTTAGAAAGAGACTCCAGACTGGGTGAGGCTCTTTGTGGGCCCCTCACACCTGACATCCCCCGCGTGCCATCTGTCATTGATGCTTATCCTTCTGGGATCAGGACTTGGCTCAGGTTCTGGGTGTGTCCCCAGGCACCTTCTCTCATGTGTCACTAGTCACAGCAGCGCAAAGGAGGACACCGCCCAAGTGTCCAGCAACCAACGGTCAGACAGAGTGAGGTGCAGTCAGTTGGTGGACTGTCACCACCTAGTCTTGGTCTGTGCCACACCATACATGAAGCTTGAAGACACTATGCTGTGTAGGCTAAACCAGACACAGCAGGTCTGGCCCCACTTGCAGGAACCGTCTAGGACAGACAGATGCGTAGAGGCAGAGGTTGCCCAGGATGAGGGCAAAATCAGGAGGGACTGCTGGTCTGCATGGAGTTTCCTTTTGAACTGATGAAAATGTTTTAGAATTAGTGGTGATGGTTTTGTGAACATGTGCTAAAAAAACATCATAATCGTGCACACTAAAATGGGCAATTTTGTGTTATATGAATTTTATCCCAAAAGGAAAAAACTAATAACTGGAAATCTGAGCAGAACTATTGAGCACTCAGGCTAATTAGTGAGATGACTGGAAAGAATTTTATATAAAAAAATTTCCTCCAGGAGAAAGGTGACAAGATTTCATCAGAAGGCTAGACTTCATGCATATCCTGAAAGGCGATTTGGCAGAGATGAACTGTTCATTCTGCCTCTGCGTCTGTAGGGAGGATACTGGCTGTATTTCTTTCCAACCACATGGTATCTGAGTATTCATCACTCATGCAATTAAGGGGGTCCACGTGGCACAGTCATTTGCAGTTAGCTGCTGACCTGAAGGTTGTCAGTTCGAACCCACCCAGGGACTCCATGGAAGAAAGGCCTGGTAAATTGCTTCTGTAAAGATTACTGTTGCTAGGTGTCTTTGAGTTGGTTCTGACGCGTAGTGACTCTGTGTGCGACAGAACAAAATGATGCCTGGTCCTGCCCATTGTGGCAGCCACTATGTCAGTCCATCTCGTTGAGGGTCTCTGTCTTTTTCGCTGACCCTCCATTTTACTAAAGCTGATGTCCTTCTCCAGGGACTGGTCCCTCCTGATGACCTATCCAAAGTATGAGAGACAAAGTCTCCCATTCCTTCTAAGGAGCATTCTGGCTGCGCATCCTCCAACATAGACCACATCAGTGTGACAGCCGATAAATCTCTCAGGCTATTCTACTAAGTAACACACGGAGTTGCTCTGAGTCACAGTGGACTCAACACAGCAGATAAGAACAATGCTCATTTCCAAATAGCATTGCAAGGTGTTTGGAGGCTTTCCTGGGCAGGGGAGTCACCATCTGCGGTGGGGCTCTCAGGCTCTGTCCATATATCCTGGGAGGGTAGCTGAGTCAGTGCTGAGCTGTGCCTGTGGAGTGTGGTGGCAGATCTGGTCTGTCTGTCCTATTTTCCCTCAGGTGGCAAGTTCAAACACTGACCAAGAAGCTCCAAGAGCTGGAAGAAGCTCAGAAAACAGAGCAAGATGCTCCCACAAAGACAATGCACGAGGTACGTGTGTTTTTCCTATGTAGTCTCCAGCTTAGGCGTTTTCTTCCCAGCATGTCTCCCAGCCACATACTGACTGGAAGAAGTGAGCACCCTTCTATCATAGGAGCTCAACTCGTCATCTCAGCTGTGGGCATCAAAGTTGGGGTTCATTGATGGTCAGTCGTGAATGTAAACAGCTCTTCCAGCTGTGGGTTATAGAGCTGTTGAGCTAAATGCAGAGGCTGTGAGAGAGACAGACAGACAGATACAAAGAGAAAGAAGGCTAGTGCTATCCTGAGCAGAGGGCTCAAATCCTCCCATGTACTCATCCTTACACCCAAGGTTCTTGCTGCGGATCCTCCCTCAAAGCATGGTCCAAGGGAAATATCCAAAAGATCCACTCAGCTTGGGCCTCATTGGCGCCTGACAGCAAGCAAAAAGCAGCATCTAGAGAAAGAGGCCCACCCTCCTCATCTGCACTCTCCCACTTGCTCCCAACAACTGTCTCTCACAGATTTGTTAAGACAATCCCCCACTTCCAGAAAGATCCACTGTCCACTGAGGGTTGTCTGCTAGAGGTGAGCAGGAAGTGGGAATTGAGAACAGACTTGGATCGGGAGGTGCTCTGGTTGGCAGGTGGCTCTGTGGTGAAGGGCAATTTCTCTCTACAGGGACTCCATATAGGCGCACCCTCCCTCCGAGCCACCTCCACACTTGCCTTAGTTACCTGGTGGTGGTGGTACCTGGTGGTGGTGGTTATGTGCTGTGGAGTTGGTTCTGACTCATTCCCACCCTGCATAGGGTTTCTGAGGGTGTAAATATTTACGGGAGCAGAAAGCCTCATCTTTCTCCCCACAGAACGGCTGATAGTTTCAAACTGCTGGCCTTGAGGTTAGCAGCCCTACTTGTAATCACTATGCTACCAAAACTCCCTAGTGGTGTTGTAACAGAAATACCACAAGGCAATGATTTTAATAAACAAACGTTTATCTGCTCACGGTTTAGGAGGCTTGAAGTCCAAGGCATCAGTTCTAAGGGGGAACTTTTTCTCTCTATCAGCTCTGGAGGAAGAAGGGCCTTGTCTCCTTTCAACTTCTCTGGTCCGAGCATTGTTTGGAGATCTACGTGTGTCTTGGCATCAATTTTCCCCTGGGTCGGGGAGGTGCTCAGCGCTTCACTCCCTACTCTTCTTTTCTTGGTGATAGTAGGTCCCTTGGAGCTCTGCTCACTTATTTAATCTCTTTTAATCTGGAGTAAGGAGATCTGGTAGTGTAGTGGTTACAAATCGGGCTGTGAACCTCAAGGTCAGCAGTTCAAAACTACCAGCTGTTCCGCGGGAGAAAGATGAGGCTTTCTGCTCCCGTAAAGATGTACAGCCTTGGAAATCCTGTACAGGGTCACTATGGGTTAGAACTGACTTGACAGCACATAACAACAACAACAATCTGGAGTGGCACTGTAGAATAAGCACTGGACTGCTAACCACAAGATTGCAGGTTCAAACCCACCAGCCGCTCCTTGGAAACCCTCTACAGGGTCTTTACGAGTCAGATCTGACTCAACAGCACTTAACAACAATATCCCAAATGAGATTGAGTTGAGCTGCAACTAATCCTGTAGATCACGTCCTGCCTCAAGAACACAGCTGTCTCTTCTCCCGCCTTGTCAGCATCAAGAGGTGAGAATCCACACCACAAGGGATGATTCCATCAGCTCACAAAATGCAGGATAATGACATTATCTAGAGAATCATGGCCCAGCCAAGCTGGCACATGGTTTTGGGGGGTGCAGCTCAATTCTTGACAGCACCCCTGAAGGCAGCCGGCTGGTGTTTCTTGGGACTGTGAGGGGGTGACAGAGACCTGCCTCTGGTCTGTCAGCACTGCCAGCCACACTGCAACCCACTGGGCTAGAAAGCCCGTCCTCGGCCAGCCATTTCTGCAGCGAGTGGATCCTCCACCTGGCATTTTGTGTGGCTGAGTTGTAGAATCTGACAGGTGTTCTTGGGCATCCACCTTGTAGCTGCGTGCACTCTGAGAGGCGCCCATAGTACGGATGTGTGAACAGCACAGCTTCTCCCTCATTCCAGTCACTGAAGCGCTGAAGACTGCCCGGAGCACGCACGCACACACACCAGGATCTCACGTTTTTACACACTGCATGTGTCCTTCCAGAAGTGTCCTTCCTCTTCAGACAGGAAGATTGTTGCTGGGACTTAGCAAGGCTGTGGTATTTAGCCACCTGCTGAGAGCTGAGCATTAAGGGTTTTTTAAACCTTGATTGGCTTTTCTTTCCCTCGGCTGGTTCATGTAGCAGGATTATTCATTTAAATACCTCTTGTTCTCTTAAAAAGACCCTGGTAGTTAAAGCACATAGTTTAAAGCTGCAAGGTTGGTGGTTCACACCCACCAGCTGCTCCACAGGAGAAAGATATGACCATCAACTTCATTGTTGTTGTTGTTGTTAAGTGCCATCGAGTCGATTCTGACCTATAGTTTCCGAGGAGCAACTAGTGAGCTTGAACTGCCAACCTTGCAGTTCAGATGGCTTTGCAGTCTAGCGCAAACCAGAAGGTCAGTTGCTAACCAGAAGGTCAGTGGTTCCAACCCACCAGTTGCTCCATGGGAAAAAGATGTGGCCATTTGCTCTTGTCAATACTTGTTGTTAAGTGCAGTTGAGTTGGGTCTGACTCGTAGCAACCCTTTATAGGGTTTCTGAGGGACGGCTGGTGGGTTTGAACTGCCAAACTTGTGGTTCACAGTTCAGTGCTGATCCCACAGCACTACACCAAGAGGCCCCTCAATATATGCGGTGGTTGTGTGCCGTGGAGTTGGTTCTGACTCATAGCCACCCTACATATGGTTTCCGAGGCTGTAAATCTTTACGGGAGCAGAAAGCCTCCTCTTTCTCATGTTGAACTGCTGATCTTGAGGGAGCCGTGTTAATTCTATTGGGATGTTCTTTTCTGCACTAGAGGGTTTCAGTAAGTCAGAATCAGTGGTTTTTTTCTCTCAGCTGGACTGTGGAACGTCCATTCTGGCAGGAGGGGCTCAGGATGTACACAGGCCACAGTGGTGCCGGCAGGCCTGAAGGGTCTCCTGTAAGGATTGGGGAGCCCTACGGCAGATGGGAGCCCCCTGCAGAGCTAATTCAGCCCTCAGACAGTGTTCTCTGTGTGTCCCCATAGATGTGCTCATGTGGGTTTCTCCATATCTTCTGAGGGAGGCTGTCTTGGGCTAGGTTCTTGAGAAAAGCAAATCCAGTGACTGTATATATGTATGTATATGTATATATATATATATATATATATATATATATATATATATATATATATACACAATTATCTAGATTATCTAGAGAGAGTTCTTACAGGGTAGAAGCAGGCAAGTCCCACATCTGTGAGTCAGATATCAGACTGAGGCTTCTGCAGACTCTTGTCATCAGCAGGAGCTGATGAACCCAAGATTGACAGGACATCAAGTTGAAAGAATGGGAGGTCAGATGATGATAAGCCTGAGGCAGGATCCAGATGGAGCAAGAAGCCAGAGAAGAGAGCTTTGCCAGAACATCCATATGTATTGGATTCAGGCCACACCCCCGAGGACATTTACTTTCAGTTGATTGGCTATGGTTACATTGTATCAGATCTCATTGGTGGTGGTGGTGGTAGTGGTGGAGACTACATCTTAGCCTCCTAATCACTAAGAATCCTGGCCCAGCCAAATTGACTCACAACTTTAACTTGAAAAGGCTGAGTTGTCAGTTCCTCCTGAAGAGAACTGGCCACTCCCCATGTGACAATCACTCTTCACGAGACCCGAGGTCCCTGCACACCTGTGCTGTCAGTCATGGTCTGGTTATCCTGTGGGAGACCCGGCTGTGCCCAGTGTTGTCCGTGATCTTCATCCTGGCCCCGAGAATGGATAGTGTCCATGTCACAGGACAATGCTTGTGTCTCTTCATAGGCTATAGACACTGTTCCAACCTCTTCACAAAAGGACTGCCCTAACTCCCTCAAGTCATTCCCACCTTCTCTGAGACATGTTCCTGCCTCTTTGAAAACCTTCCTCAAGGAGGCAATTGTTCTCCACAGAGCAGAAATGCACATTTGCAGGGCTTTGAAGACTCTTTGTTTGGCAGCTCAAGAGGACTGTTGTTGTTGTGAGGTGCTGTGGAGTTGGTTCTGACTCATGGTGACCCTTCACCATCTTGTTGGGGATTTTCCTCTTTTTTACCGACCCTCCACTTTACAAAGCATGATGTTCTTCTCCAGAGACTGGTCCTTTCTGACAATATGTCCTAAGTATACGAGGTGAAGTCTCACCATCCTGGCTTCTAAAGAGCATTTCTAGCTGTATTTCTAAGACGGATTTGTTTGATCTTCTGGAAGTCCGTGGTACTTTATTCTTCTCTAACACCACAATTCAAATGCATCGGTTCTTCCATGGTCTTCCTTATTCATTGTCCAACTTTCACATGTATATGAGGTGATTGAAAATACCACGTCATGGGTCAGGTGCACCTTAGTCCTCAGAGTGACAGCATAACTTGTGAGCACTCTGAAGAAATCGGCAGCAGATTTTCCCAGTGCACCACGTCGTTTCATTTTCTGACTAGGCTTCCTCAGGTATTAGGTTGGCTGCAAACCCTCAACACCAGAGAAGTACAGCTTGACTCAGTGCCTTGGTGATTGATGTGCAGATCACAACAACACTTGGGTTCCCCAGCATAAGATGAACCCTGTTTAGACCCTCTCTCCCTCCTTGGGCCTCAATATACTGACCTTCCAAGAAAGGTCTGGGATAGATGCTGCCTGTCTCCCCATCTTTGATCCCCTCTGAGCAGAGTTTACACTAATCTCTGTCATTTGGGATTTAAACCCTTGTCTCTCTTAGACCCTTGTTGTGCTCCCGTAAAGATTTACAGCCTCGAAACCCTGTACAGGGTTGCTATGAGTTGGAACTGACTCCATGGCACACAGCCACCAGCCACCTCTCAGTTAGATGCAGAGCTGCTCTGTTTGTGCAGCTACCTGACAGTGGCTCCACTTCTAACCGAGGCCCTGGGAGGTGGTGCGTGCCTGGCGTCAGAATATCATTCCGTGTTTTTCTATTGGGGCATCTTCACCTTGACCTTGAGCTTATGCCTTCCCATAATTCCTCCAGTAAGGAGCAATGTGGTGATACTCCAAACACAGTGACAGCAGTGACGACGACACTCGCAGGCCCAGCACTGTTTCCACCAAAAGACCCTTCTTTTTGTCTCCCAGTTCCTCTTGCTTTTACCTGCTGTGGAGTTTAAAATATGCAGAAGGCACGACTGTGTGGGAGTTGAGTGGTGTCTCAGTTATCCAGTGCTACTGTAACGAGAATACCACAGTGGATGCCTCAACAAACAGAAGTTTATTCTCTCACAGTTTACGAGGCTGGAGGTGCAAATTTAGAGTCCTGGCTTTCTCTCTTGGTCAGCTCTGGAAAGGGTCCGTTTCTCCTTTCAGCATCTGTAGGTCCAGCATTCCTTGACGATCTCTGCATGTCTTGATGTGAGTCTTCCTATGGATATAGGAGTTTCCCAGTGCAGGGACCCCAGGTTCAAAGGATGTATTCCACCCCTGCCTCTTCTTTTCTGGTGGCAGGAAGTCCCTCTGGACTCTGCTAAGAGATTGATTCAAGATATAATCTAATCCTGTAGATTGCATCCGGCCTTATTACCATCATAGAAATGGGGGTTTACAACACATAGGGTCAGGTCAGGGCTGATCACACCAGATCACATCGTGGAAAGCAATTACATCGTTAAATAACTGCCAAACCATTGAGAATCATGGCCTTGCCACACTGACACATATTCTGGGAGACACAATTCAGTCCCTGACAGACGGTATATTGAACTATTAGCAAATGGAGACAACAATGTTGCTGTTGTTGAGTCGGCTTGAACTTGTGGCAACTTCAGCACATTCCCCGGCCCTGCACCATCCTCAGAATCACTGGTCTGCTCAAGATCCTGGTCACAGCCCCTGTGAACTTCGGGTGCCTTCCAACCTCGGAGACTCTTCTCCCATCTCCATAGTAGACAATGTTCTATTATCATCCATGGGTTTTTCATTGGCTCATTTTTCAGAAGGTCTTTCCTCCTCATCTTTCTTAGTTAGGAAGCTCCCCTGAAACCTGTCCACCACAGGTAACCCTCCTGGACTTTGAAATGCTGCTGGCCAAGCTTCCAGACAGCACAGTGTGACAAGCTACAGAAGGTGAGTGGTGGTGGTTAGGTGCATCGAGTCAGTTCCAATTTAAAGCAACCCTGTGCACAACAGAATGAAACACTGCCCTGTCCTTCGTCAACCTCACAGTCATTACTACGCTTGAACCCATTGTTGCTGCTGCTGCACCAATCCATCTTGTTGGGTGGAGGTCTTCATCTTTTTCACTGATCCTCCACATTACCGAGCATGTGTCTTTCTCCAGGGACTGGTCCCTCCTGATAACATGTCCAAAGTGTGGGAGACGAAGTCTCTCCATCCTCCTTTATAAGGAAGAAGGCGCCGCTCGCTCCTGCTTATAAAGGACAAGAAAAGCTGTTTCTATCTCTGTCTCCCCCTCTTTATGGCAAGAGTGGAGCTGCATGTAGAAACGCAGTCCGAGATAGTACCCGCTCACTGACTGGGCTCCTGAACAGCCACACAGAGGAGCTACATAAAGATATGCTATAGTGTACAGCCATGAGTAAGCATAGCGTGGGTCTATTTACTGACATGGAACGATGCCTAGGATCTATTGTTGGAGGGAACCAAATCCTCCCTCTCCCCCCCCCCACAAAAAAAGGCATATAGCACGATGCCATTAAACAAAAAACACCCTCCCATGTAAGAAAGAGCCAGTGTGGCTGTTTCTGTATGTAGGATTGCAAGTGTCTGTTGTTTGGGCTTTTTCCCCCTTTCTCTTGTGTATCTGTTAGTGTTATCTGATTTTTTAAAGCCACGTATGTGCCAGCTTTGGGTTTCTTTCTGCTGAGAGCATTTCCATTCTGAAGAAGAGTGAGTTTGACTGGAAGAGCCCATGGCCGTCTGGGTAGTGGAAGGGCCCTGAGTCTTTTAGTAGCCGAGTGACTAACTGCAGGTTTAAATGGCACACCGGAACTCAGGCTTTTCACAGTTGCCTCGGGTAATTTATAGGAACATCAGAAAGTAGTGCTTTTTTCCCCCCAGCTGTTGACTAAGCATTATTTGACTAAATATTCATTGATCTCCTAAGTAAATGTTTTTACATTTTTTATCAAATTGGCCAGCAATGCATATTGACAGTTTCCCACTGGAGAAACTGAGTGGCAATCTGAGTGTGTGAAGACAGAGGGACCGCGGTCTGCAGGGTCTCTTGTGTGGCTGTCACAGGGACACCACAAGGGGGTAGATTTCACAAACAGAAATCTCTTCTCTCACGGTTTAAGAGGATGGAAGTCCAAATTCAGGGTACCTGCTATAGAAGAAGATGCACTTGCTCTGTGGGAAGGTCCTTGATATCAGACCTCCCCTGGGTCTAGGAGGTTCTCAACAGAGAGGCCCCAGATCCAAAGGACACATTCCACTCCCAGCTCTTTCTTCTTTCTCTTTCTCTGCTCACTTGTTTATCTCTTTTGCATCACAAACGAGACTGACTCAAGAGACAGCCTACTCGTGTAGCTTGTATCCCGCCTCAATAACATAGAGATACAGCCTAATCCTCAGGAACAAAAGCACTTGTTTTAGTTGCATGCCATCAAGTTGGTTCCAACTCATAGCAACCCTATCTAGGGTTTCCAAGGAGCAGCTGGTGGGTTTGAATCACCGACCGTGTGGTCCAGAGCATTGTCCAGCAGAGCCACACCAGGACTCTGTACTAGTACATAGAGATCCGAATTGGCAGCACATCACAGATGGAGGCTAATGGCTCTGGGATAATGCACTAGACCGCAGGGTCAGTTTGAACAACAAGGTCGGCAGTTCAAATTCACCAGTTGCTTCTTAGAAATCCTATACAGGGTCGCTGTGAGTTGGAACTGACTCAGTGGCACTTAACAACAACAATCGTAGAAGATGATTGCTTCATTGCACAACAGCTCCAGAGAATCACAGCCCAGCCAAGTTGACATATGGTTGAAGGAGACACAATCTCTGACAGGTAGTGAGATCCTCAGGAGGGTAACAGTGGAAACGTCAAGACGAGCCTGGGTTCTTGGCCAGAAGCCGTGGTTAGCTCCCTGAGGCGGGTGGATGGCAGCTGACCAGTCTATCCCGTCTCTTACTTTGTGGGGTCTGTCTCCAACAGCATGTGTCTCCACCGAGTTTGCATTCGGAATGTGAAGAAATGTAGTTCGATATTTTCATGCTTATTATCCTTCTAGACAGCCAGGATCCTTAGTGGCACAGTGGTTATAGGACTTGGCTACTAACCGTAAGGTTGGCAGTTCACACCCAGCAGCCGCTCCCTGGGAGACAGTCTGCTCCCGTAAAGATGACAGCCTTGGAAATACTATGAGGTAGTTCTTCCTTGTCTTACAGGTTGGCTGTGAGTTGGAATCGACTCAGCAGCTGTGAGTTAGATTTGGTTTTATAAATTTGGGCCCATAAATGGCAAAACTCAGGGTTGGTTTGATGGTTTCTTTCCACCAGGAAACCAAGCTAGAAGTTTGCTGTTTTAAACCCAGAAATCCTACTTTTGTAATACAGTATCCGACGAGATGAAAGACCCCAGAAAGGACCCCAAAGAGTGGTACAACAATCTTTGCATAATGGAAATTGTGTACTGATTTTAGAGAGGGTAATGTGCTCGTGCAGCCAATTCTTCTTCAGACAACAGATGCCTCCTTCCCCAGGTCCACCTGGGAGATGCCCGCCAGGCAGATGCCCTGAAAAGCCCATGACAGCTGCTTACTAGCGCCTGCATGGTTCCTTGGAAAACTTCTAGCCTTGGCTACGGCAGCTCCCAATAAATTAAGAAGCCTGATGAGGCAAACCCGCTCTCCACCAAATGGCATGCTGTCCTGGCCCCCCCTGCTTACCACCCTTTCACCCCTTGTGTTTCCTGCAGACCATGGAAGAACCCCAGCCACCGCTTCCCACCAGCAGCTGCCCCCAGCAGGACCTGGAGCCCCATCCCAGTGCCTTGTGCTCACGACCACCCTCTGCCCGTTCTGCTGGGAGAGAAGATGAGCAGCGGGAGGCAGCAGCCAGGGTCCTGCAGGCCCATTGGAGGGCATGCAGCCACGAGGTGAGGGCCCGAGGGACCCCCAGAAGCTGACCCACCTGAAATCAGAGTTCCCTGGATGTGCCATCTCCGAGTCAGGGCCCACAGATGAGAGGGCAGTAGACAGCCCTGAGCCCAGAGCAGAGAGAGGTAGGGACAGGTCCATATTTAAGCTGGTCCTCGAAGGAGGCACAGGACTCTACTGTTAGATGGACAGCAGGCAGAGGCCTACTTCCCAGGAGCATGTGCACCAGTCAGTGCTCAGCACAGGGTGCCCCACAGAGGTGAGACCGGTGGTTGTAGGGAAACCAGCTCTTTGGGGCAGATGTGCTGGCAGCCAGCGACTCAGCTCTGACCCCCCTGGACCACTGACTTCTCTGTTGGCCAGCTCAATGCTAAGTAACAACAGCTGTGAAGGATTTTCTTTCCTTTTTAAAAACAATCTTTTTCATTGTTTTTTCGGATGGGAGTTCATAGAGCACGTGAGTTTTCCACTCAGCGCTTCATACCCATTCTGATCCGTGACGCGGATTACAGTCCCTTCAGTGTAACAGCGCTCTTCGCACTTCCTCCCTGTGTCCCCGTGTCCATCCGTCCTTCTTTCCTGTCCTTCTTGCCCTCTGAGCTGTGTTTTGGGGCAAATGCTGCCTGCTGTGGAGGATTTGCAGTCCCCCATGGCTCCCTTTTCCTGGGGTTTCCTGGAGGACCATGGTTGGTTTTATGAGGGATATGCAGCATCTGCGCCGCAGAATAGTCTCCGAGTTTACGATGGGCCACCTGAGGGGAAATGGGGTATCCTCACTCTGTCCTCTGCCCTCTCAGGGTCATAGCAGGTGACTGGGTGCCACCTGGTGTAAGACCTTGAACTTCTCAGGTCTGCTGCAGCAACACTCCCCTCCACAGCTCAAGTTGAGGTGACAGGAGCTGCCCTCCAAGGCGGCTCCCTTAGCGGTACTGTCCCACACGTTAGTCAGTTCTGTGACAGGGTGTTGTCAGTTCCGTCCTCCTCAAGCCGTGGAAGGAACATTTCCATCCCTCAGCAGTTTCTCTTCTCATGCTTCGTGTCTAGGCCACTTTCATTCCCTAGCAATATCCTTACCAATATCCATCCTCGTCTGTTTCTTGATGCCATCTCAGCCACAGTCTTTATTGTCACTTTGCTGGGTAAGCCTATCTTCCCATCAGTTCGCGTCACACCCACTGCTCCTGGTTGCTCCCTTTTCCCCACTGTGTCCAGGCGACCCTGGGCTGTGACCCATGTGAGCGTCCAGTCGTGTACCCCAAAACATGACGTGCATGCTGTCCAGTCAGCTATGAGTCACCAGATGCATATGGAAGACCTTAGAGGTTCACTGTGGTCCAGACTGTGGGGTCAGCTGACTGATAGACTTCTTTAAGTCCCCCAGTGACTTTTTTTTTTAAGTTTTTATTGTGAATTAAGTGATGGCTCCCTAACTGACCAGAGATCAGAGAAGGAACTGTCTCCTTTGCCATGAGACCAGAAGAACTAGGGGGTTCCCAGCTACCAGCACTGAATGTTTTAATCAAGGATTCCATAAAAGAATCCTGATCAAAATGGGGATCATGTGGAACAGGATTTTAAACTCTTACAGAATCCAGACTGACTGGATCTATGGAACTTGGAAGAGTCCCTGAATCTACTGATCTGAGAAAAATATCAGTTTAAAATCCCCATTTAAAATGGGGTTCTTGGAAGTGTGGCCCTAGAGGGTCGCTACAGAGGGTGGGGGTGGTGGTGGGAGGGGGTGGTTGTTGCTTTTGAATCTCCACAGTGTTTTTGCACCTTTTGTTGACATCTTTCTCCCTAGTGTCATGCGTGTGGGGGTAAGACCAGAAGTGAAGATTGCACTGTAGGCAAACACATCCTTCTCACACCAATTCATGCTTTGTTTTTTCTTTCAGAACAAAGTGGCTGCTCTGCATGAGGTAAACAAGGGCTGTCTCTCCCATCTCAGAACGTGACACAAGCAAGCACGCTCACATTGGAGTAAAGTAACAGGGTATTTTAGGAAGCCACAAAGTGCTCACTTTCCTGAACTCACACTAGAGCGCTACAGGAAATTAAAATACGTCAATCTTACATGCAGCAAATAAATATTTGGGTGACTTAACACTTTCAAAATTAATTTACTCATGCATTCCCTCAGCCCATTTGTACTGATCTTGGGCTCTGCCAAGCAGTGTGCTAGGTCGGCCCTTAGCTGACAGGTCAAGCAGACAGGTCAGCAAAGCGCTACAATTTCTTAGGGGTGTGTGGCTCAAAGCTGCGTCTATGACGCCGTGGTATCTGCCAGGCCCACATGCTAAGGCAGGAACATCTGCAAAGGAGACATGAGCAGGGCTTTGCAGATTGAGTAGGAGCTCTCTGGGGAGTAGTGAGGATGGGCTGGTGAAGGGGATGTCTGGAGAGTGGTGGGGAGCAAGGATGGAAGTATGAGTTAAAGCAAACAATGACTAGAATAAATGGAATCATGAATGGTGTGCTTTGGAGGTCTGACCACTATTTTGTAAGGAGCTAAAACATCAGATCTTTACTTTGCTAAAAATTCTTGACGGCCTGTCAGTGTCTGCCCTCTGCTCCTTGGACTCCCTATGGGGGCCAGTTACCATCCCAGTTTAGCGGGTGGGTGGGCACTGAAAGGGGGCACAGGTTTGAGCTTGCCTGCCCCAGAGGAGTTGGGCTGAAGACCGTCCACTGGGTGGGCAGCAGGCCCGCAGCCCCAGGTGCAGTGAGAAGTGTGAGTGTTTGAGGCCCACGTTCTAGACCATGGCACCAGCTCCCTGCTTAGAGAGGGTCCCCTGTACCACTCAGTCACTGCGTCCACTCGGGACATAGCCTTGTCCTGATCATGTCAGTGCTTTCTGACCTCTGACCCTCACATCCCATCTTCTAGATACTTCTATCAGTTCTAAGATCCCACCCCAAGACCTCTGACACACTAGCCTTCCTGTTGTGTCCCTCTGTCTCCCCTAGTTCCACCACTGCCCATCCAAGCCCCTCCACACCAACCTTAAAAGGGTAAAATGGTGTATTTTATGTTGTGTGTGCTTTACCGCAGTTAATGGAGGGAGCTTAGTGGGCTATGGTTGGGCTGCTAGTCACAAGGTCAGCAGTTCTAATCTACCAGCCATTGTGCAGGAGGAAGATGAGGCTTTCCAGCCTCAGAAGCCCTGTACAGCGTGGCTGAGTCAGAACGAACTTGCCAGTATACACCATCACCACCACCATTAGAGGGAGGCCTTTCTATTTCCCCAACTGTCAAATCTACCTGTCTCCCCTGTAAGCATAAAGGGGCTATCCACACAGATACCTGAGACCCCTTACACTTAACAAGGCTGGCCTTGCCTCTGTCCCCACATCCACAGGGCTGTCTTGTTCTGGTCCTCAGACTTAATTCTGCCCCAGGACCTCAGTCCAGGCTGTCTCCCCACCCCACCCCACCCCACTACTGAAGGCTCTCATAAGGGAACGACTTGTCTGCTCCCGTAAAGATGACAGCCTAGGAAAGTTTATGGGGCAGTTCTACTCTGTCACACGGGATTGCTAAGAGTCGACTTGAATGTACCCAACAACAGCATTAACTCACCTCCAGATGAGAGAAAAGTCACTTCCGACTCATAGCAACTCTATAGGACAGGAGGACTGGCCCAGAGGATTTCCCCGGTTGTAAATCCTTCCAGAAGCAGACTACCACCTCTTTCCCCCGCACAGAGGCTAGTGGGTTTGAACCTCCAACCTTTTGGTTAGCAGGTGCTTTAATCTCTGTGCTTACTCTTACTGGGTTAGTCCAAGTATCTAACACGCTTTTTACAGGTTGTTTTGTTCTTAATAACTACCACACTCTGTCTGTCTCTCTCTCTGCTGCCTTCATATACTTGTTTCATCACCCTTGGTTTCTGACATTTCCCTCACCTTGTCTTTAAAAAACACACACAACACACCAAAGTTTGGGGCTGTTTAATTTGGCGGGGGTGGGGGTGGGGGGCATTATCATTGAAACATCTAGACCTCTAAGCTCATTTTACAATCCTGCTCAGTCTGATTGTTTGTTGTTCTCTTCAGATGTTAATAAACCCATGAGCCCTTTGTTAAGCTGTATTATTTTTCACCAAGGTTAGTAGAAATAGGATCACTCAAAATTGATGTAGGTAGGGAGATGAGAGAGCAAATAAAGTTCTATCTCCCAAAGACAGCACTGATTTCATAACTTAGAGCATATTTCCTAGGAAAATCATTTAGGATTAAGGTCAAAGGGTAAATAATCCCCTTGCCATGACTCTAGGGATCCTATGTGAGTTTAGAAGATGTATAAAGAGCCCTTTTACTTGGCTCCACGATCAATGCTCATGGAAGAAGCAGTCATGAAATCAAATTGCACTCCACAAATCTGCTGCAAAAGACCACTTTCAGATATTCAAGAGCAAGAGCAGAGATGTCAGTTTGAGGACTAAGGTGTAGCTGGTATTTTCAGTAGGCTCACATGCATGTGAAAATTGGACAGTGAATAAGGAAGACCATAGAAGAACTGATGCATTTGAGTTAGGTGTTGCAGAAGAATATTGAAAACACTGTGAACCACCAGAAGAACAAATCTATGTTCTATAGTCAGAATGCTTCTTAGAAGCCAGGATGGTGAGACTTTGCATCTTGCACTTTGGATATGTTGTCAGGAGGGACCAGTCCCTGGAGAAGGACATCACGCTTGGTAAAGTGGAGGGTCAGTGAAAAGGAGGAAGACCTCCAACGAGAAAGATTGACAACAGTGGCAACAACAACATGTTATCCTGTTCAGACATGACAACAATTGTGAGGGTGGCGCAGGACCGGGCAGTGTTTCGTTATTTTGTGCATAGGGTTGCTGTGAGTCGGAACCGACTTGAAGGCACTTGACAACAACAACATAAAGAATCCTAAAGGGGGCAACAATTAAACACTTGGATGCTAACTGAAAGGTCAACAGTTTGAACCCACCAGCCACTCCACAGGAGAGAGATGTCTGCTTCTGTATAAATGACAGCCTTGAAAGTCCTGTGGGGCCGTCTTCTCTGTCCTCCAGGCTTGCAGTGCATCAAAATCAACTTGACGGCATCCTACAACAGTAACGTGGAAAGTTTGTGAGAGCAGAATAAGTTATTCCCCACAAAAAACATAACTACATGTAAAACAGAGAGTCCTATTAGCAGCTAAGTTGAATTGTGTTGGACAGATGATTCATTTCCATTCCAAGCTTCCCCCGAGGGATCAGTCTCTGGTGTGCTCCTCACTGAAGGAGATTTGCGGGGAGACAGGAAAGTTCTTGTAGTGCGGTCTGTGACTATGAGCTAGTAAGGGGAGTCGTTTCCTCTGCTTTTAGCTATTTCCCTCTGGAATTTTCTTTCATCTGAACCTGCACTGAGGAAAATTCACCTGTTTCCTCTCTCCTCGTCCTTACCAGGCAGCCATTGTGCTTCAGGCGGCTTTCCGGGGACACCTCGCGAGGGCACAGCTCCTGGCCAGCAGAGCCTCTGGTTCCCTGTCTCCCAGCATACCAAGCTCCCCTTGGAAGGTAACATTAGTGTGTGGCCCCCAGACTTGATGCTCCCCAGCTTCTCCTTTTCTTGTACTTCACCAGCTAGAAGCACGGGGTGTTCATTCATTGCTTCTTCTCTTCTGAGTGCCCAGAAGGTATGCATCACACACCCCTCCACCACCACACACACCACCCTGTGTTCTCATGCCACGCTTCCTCACGCGCTACCCTGTATTCACACGCTACCACCTCACATGCCACTTCATGTTCACCTGTTATCTTGTCCTCATACACCACACTTCTTGACATGTCGCCTCATATTCACACACCACCCTGTCCTCACAGGACACCCTCCACTGTCCTTCCTGCTGCCCCTTCTCCCGTGCCACCCCACTTCACTCACCATCTCTGTAACGCACCCCTTCCTCACATGCTGTCTTCCCTCTCACACCACTCCACCACTCCTTTACATATGGTCAAACGAAGGCAGTTCTGCTCCTGGTTCAGACCTGAGATCGAGTTAGCGTTGTAGGCAGAATGGCTTTGAGGGCCAGAGACAAAGTAGCAGGGACACTGAGATAGACAGGGACCATAAAAACAGAAATGGTTGCCGTCTATTTGACTCTGACTCATGGCAGCACGTGTGCTACCCAGTGACTGCTCCTCTCTATAGACTTTTCCATTCCTGCCATCTTTACACGTGCAGATCACCACACCTTTCTTCCACAGAGCCACTGGCTGAGTTTGAACTGTGCTTACCTTTAGGTCCTGGTGTGGCACTGTAGGATAAGCACTGGACTGCTAACTGCAAGGTTGGAAGTTCAAAACACCAAGCCAATCCTAAGAAACCGTACGCAGGGTCTTTGAGTCAGAACTGACTCGACGGCACTTTTAACAACAACCACCACCTTTAGGTTAGCGGCCGACTGCACACTGTTTGTACCGCTCAGTGAGTTTTCAGTTAAGATAGAAGCTTAAAAAAGAATAAAGCTGTAAGCTCTCTATTTTGTCCCTGGTCTCCTACTTCCTTTGGCAAAAAGACAAAACAGCATGACATGGATACCTCAGGTGGTCCCTCTCCCTGGGCTCCATCCAGGTGGCATAGGGGAGGTCCTTCTCCATAACGTTGGAGATAATATAATGCTGGGCCCTGAGTCTGCACCTGTGTAGGCCTACGTACTCCTACATATACCTGAGTGCTCCCAGTGGGCAATGACTGAGAAGAAAACCCACGCAGGACACACGTCTAACACACATTAAGATTTCAAACTGAGGAAGACCTAAGGGAAAAAGAAAACAAGACAAACAGCTAAGAATCTGAAGTGTGTAGCGCATCCCTCAGGTAACTCCACAGGACCTCTTTGAGAGGTTCTGTGATGTAAGGGGTAGAGGGCTGAGAACCATCTCCCTTTCACTGTTGTTGCAGCATCCCCCAACACCCCACAGCCAGAGCCCTGCTGCCTCCGACAGCCCAGAGCTGGAGAAGGCAGTCATGCTGGTCCAGGCTGTCTTCCGGGCGCACCTAGCACGGACCAGGCCAGGGTGAGTCGGGTGACCATGCACAGGGCAGGCCTGCCTTCTACCTCATGGTAAGCAGTGAGTCTGTAGGCCCCTGCCATTAGCCACAGGGAATGTCCCACTGTCCAGAGGCGGTGGGGTTTCTGGGTTTGTGTTTCAGTATCCCACCCCAACCCCGGTTTCTGTTTACACGTTGCTCCTTTATAAAGAATAGCACTGTGCCATCATGTTCAGCAGGACGTGAGTGTTGCCAGCAGCCTTCCCACTGCAGCACACACTTGTTTCATATGACAGCTTCCAGGCGGCCTGGGTAGGCTCCAGAGCCTCCTGTTTAAGGCTACACAGGCAGAGTGGGATTTCTTCTTCTTTCACAGAGTGGCTTTCACAGAGCGAGACGTATTCTCTCATAGTTGAGGAGGCTACAACTGTGCATTCAGGGTGCCGACTCTAGGGGAAGGGTTCCTTCTCTGTCGACTCTGGGGGAAGGTCCTTGTCTCCAGTTTCTCGGTCCCTTGGCTCCTGGGTGTTCCCGCATCCCTGCTCCATCTCCTGACTTGTTTAATCTCCTTAGATTTCAAAAGAGATGGACTCAGAGATGCACCCCACACGAATCCTGTCTCAGGTGGGGTAGCATAGGGAGTTACAATTTACAACACACATTTTGAGGCAGGCACAGTTCACTCTCCCTGCATGGGTCAGAAAGGTGTCTGTCTCTTCTCCTCCAGTGCCCCCGCCTGGAGAGCAGCCATGGAAGCTTCTGATAAAAGGACATCTGCCTCCTCATCAAGCAAGGACACATCCTCCCCGGCCTCCCTCACAGCTTCTCCTGGTAATTGCACATCACCTTGTGAGTTTGGGTGAAGAGCTGCTAGCCCACTGCATGTGGAGTCGTGAGCTACTGCCCTCAGGGGACAGGAGGCTGTGTAAGGGACATGGAGGTGGTGGGGAGGTCTAAGGAGGCTGTGTAAGGGACATGGAGGTGGTGGGG